TCAATGAAAAATGTAGCAAAAACGGTTTTTATGCAATTTTCTGACTACACGCGGGCACAGAAGTAAAACTTTGAACACCACACTAAGATAAAAAGGATGATAAAAAGACATTGCGTTGCGCTTGCGTCGATAGGAAACGCAACGCATCGTGAGTGTAGGCTTAGACGAGCGATGCTATCTAAAATTCAGCACTAAAAAACCGGTAGAGTTCTAAGAGTAAAAGTATAATGAAGAGAAAATAATCTCTATATGATCAACCGATACAATAGCTGGTATTTAAAAAAAATATAAGCTTTTAAACGTCTTTAGAAGTTTGTATATGTAAGATAACACAAGATGTTTCTCAATTTTCGAATAGATAAGAACTTACAGTACAAAAGATCCTCACACATTATATTATTAAGATTGACATCTATATAGATGTGATAGGTATTTCAAGATTTCTGGAGTATCCTAACTTTTCAACAAATCAAGAACTCAGCATAATAGGATTCGGTGACATTACTTCTGACTGATGGGAGTGATGGGCAAATAAGCAGCAATCACCCACCCCCACAAAATCGTATACATTTTCAACGCAAAGCGGCTTATCTAGAATTTCCACAAGTTCATTTACCAACCCAGAATGCATCGAATGCCGGCAACCGGTAGGGTATATCGTTCAGTGGAACGCAGGAGTCGCACACACACAGAGAGAAGGATAAGTGAAAGCGAACTGCGCGCGCGCACGAGATCGCGCTTGACATACCGCGTGCTTGAAAGTGATTGGTTTGTATGGCGGTGTTTTAATTTGTTAATCTGATGTTTGATACATACTTTCAAGAATGCTTAGTAATCGGTAATTAGAAGTTTTCGGTTTGATAATATAATTATGTATGGTTACAAGCTCCTGTCGTTATTGTAATGTTTAATGTATGCTACATTTCTATAACCACTTACCAGATTTGGTCAAAAGTGCCTATGTAACAAAATAGAGTCTATTAACAATTAATTTAACTATAAATCAATTAAAAATTAGGGATAGGTTTTGTTTTTTTCCAGATTTTTCCATTATAAAAATGATTTTCAAGGTTTTTCCAAAATAATAACATGATAGACAATGGTCCATAGTCACAAAGTCTTGATGAGGCCATTTTGTGCCTGATGTTATGTTCTTCTACAACGTCAGAACTGTCTTTGGAATAAGAAGATTAACGTTTTAAAAGGCTATAAAATGGAATAATACTCTGATACAGTAATTCCAAAGACCTCTAAACTCCAGCATTTATCCACTTAAACGAACTCCTATTACGGTGTTGTTTACATATTTTAAGTATTTCAAACCGGACGAATTGACGTATGTATAATTGCATAAGTATTATGCTAAATGGATTTTAATTAACATAATTTAATGTTTAGCAAAGTAGAGGTTTATTCCGACTAGTTGAAATAACAAATAACATTTGTAGTTTATATTGTTCTTTTTACACTCAGTAAGTCTGTATGTACGAGTTGTAAGTTGATTGGAATTTTTTCACTTCCTAGGTGTTGTAAAGCTTAATGGAATCAATCATGACGCCATGTCTTTTAGCTAGTTTAACATGAAAAACTCGCTTGCGATAAATTATTGCTCGAGCAAAGATTATGTTAAAGAATCTAGTAAATAAAATATGAAGGTTATTCTGATATGGCAATTAATGAGAGTAATAACAGTATCTAAAGCTCAATGTCATTTAAACATGTTTTAGGGTCGAGTTTTTAATCGAAACTTTAATCTAAAGGATAACTATGACACTAATAGATTTTGTATAAACAAACGTTCAAATGTCAATATTATTCTTCAGATAAAAACTCTGTCATTGGTCGAAAAGGAAAATATTAGCAACAAGAAACCTTGCATATTTTAGGAGAACATATTTACAATTTAATATCTATCAAGATTCGATTTATAGAAAGCAGTGCGTCTCTATTACTCGCCCAGACCTCATAAGGCTATCATAATAGGAGTGACAGAGACAAACAACCACAACCAGACAATGGAATCACCTTACATTCCATTCTCCATACAAGGCTATATCTTTATTTTATTACACGTTTGAAATTGCTTACTATTATATACTTATCATGATAAATTGCCTCTATAATTTATGAAGTTTGAAGTTTTTGTTTTTATGCAAATGCGTTGAGAAACAATTAAAGAAATTCAATTGATTTCTAGAAAAATGTTTCGCTATCTATAAAGAGCTGTGATGTGAAATACCAACTCTATTGTTGATATTGAAAACTATTGGGGGCTTAAAATGATCTTTCGACCAGTGTAACATTAATAATTGAATTAAAATAATGATAATCGTAATATGTTCGTTCATAGCTTGTAGAAGGTGGTCGTCTGGGCAGAGCTTGAACCAATAAGTAGTTTCTTATAATCTTTGGACAACGAACGAAGAACAAAGCTATTGCATTACTTCTTTTCATATTAACTATTTTAATTTAGCTCTAACGTTGGTCGTGTGGAGTGTAAGAATGTAGGCAAACTAGAGAGTATTCAAGGGCAAATAGATGTCACATTGGTGAGAAATAACTAGATATATTATAATTAATGCACGCTTCTTAGAAAATAGTCATCTTTATATCGGATAAATAACCAAAAAATAGGTATACCATAATGAATCAAATCAAATCAAATCAAAATTATCTTTATTTGTTTAGACTAATTAAATTAGTTCTTGCAAATCGTCAAATGCTCTTAAGGAGCCTATACATGTCTCATTCTTTTTTTTGATTTTAAATGCTGCCACATTATTACCTAAACGTGTCGTATTCGTATATTAACATCAAAATCTATTAGCACATAGCGCCCGGCGTCCGAGCGAGCACCAAAACCTTCCAATATTGCGGTTTTACCGACAATTATAAGACATCAGCAATCTATCAAGTAATTAAAGTCCAGTATTCAAGTTTTTTGCGTTATCTAATCACCTAGTTACATCAAGCATCATTAGCGTTATAACCAGCCTATTGTTGGTTAATGTCCCCTCGCAGTTATCGACATAATTGTCACAAAGCTGAATAAATAAATAGATTATGTAATTAAGAAAATCATATTGTTACTTGCACTTTGATTTTTTTTTAAATATGCATGCAGGACTCCACGATCGTGATTTCTTGTAATAAAATGAATTATTATAGTCATTAAGAGATAAAATATTCTATAAATACTAAAAAGTATGTTAAAACAGATAAGTCTTATCAATAATAATAAGTATTTCTTCCAAGATGCTCTACGAAGTGGTGGCGCGTTGATGTCCATTACATGAGCTGAGGTTACGAACGAAAACTTTTTCTTTGTTTCTTTTGTGTCGTTAATCTTTAAAATATTCTTGTCCGGTACGATTAACTGAATAATACATGTACAAACTTTGACATTTGCTAAAATCTGCAAAGAAAAACAAAAAACGATCGCTTAAGAGTAGGCGCACACCGTTGATTTTTAGTTGGCCGATAGTTGTGCCCGATTTTAAATTGTATGAAGAATCGGCCAAATCGAATCGGCGTAGTGTGCTTGCTCCCATACATGCCCATACTGATCAACTGCCCGACTAAACTATCGGCCGACGAAAAATCAACGGTGTGCGCCTACTCTAAATGTTTTCGTCATGTATTTTTTTATCGATGCAAAATTCTTACTTGCCAGTATTTAAATTCCTTTTTTTCTGCGAAAATAGATCACGTGTTTCCCAATATCGATAGTGTTTTAATATAAAAACTCATTATTAATAACTCTAGCAACACAGTTGACATCCGCAATGTGACTAACAATGTGGTAGTCTGTTTTGCTCATAATGTGAAACTCTGTGACTCAGTAATACCAATACCAATATTTTTGCGGGCCGGCGCTTAGATAGAGTCGGCTACAGAAAAAGTATCACCCTAATCGTCCATAGACGACTCGACAGAAAGATTAAAAAGCTACCGTTTTACTTTCAGCTGACTGTACCAGCTTGTGGGAATGTAGGACAAGTGTCTCTTGGTCATGACGTTAATGCGACGTGCTAAATTATTCCTTATGTCCATGACCGAAGGGTCAGTGGTCAACCGTCTACATGCGATTCGTGCGACACGCTTGTAAAATTGAGTAAGTGGTGAATAAAGCCTGTTCGTGTGTATTTGAATGGTTTAGTAAAAGCCGGTCAAACAGTTATCTATAAATATGTACCTAAATCTATACGGATATCTGAAGTATGACAAGAAAGTCCCAAACAAGACTTAAAGCTCTGCTCCTGCTTACGAGTAAATGTAGAATGGAAAGTGCCATATTATCCAAGTTCTTTAAAAGCCCATAAGTTGCAACTTACGTTATTTTACTTGAACCAACAAACAACAATATGTAAAAGATAAAATCTAGTTTTTAAACGACCAATAAAAGTCCATATTATTTGCTGTATTTTCAATTACATATTTATTTTATGTAGCTAAATACGAGTATTCTCGGTATGCAATTCCATCGGACGGTGCAAAAGTATCAAAAAACTTTTTGAAGTCATATAATATCAGATTTTTCCAGGCAAACCATTTTGATGCTAATGAGAGATGTTAAGACGAGAAAAAAGGTATGCGTGCTAAACGCATCGCGGCCAATAATGAGATAATGGATTTAATATCAATTATTCATCAGTGACACATTCCCGCGATAGGTATTCACTTTCATTTAGCCTTTATAAAGTGATGCAAATAATATAAAAGATGATTTTGAAAACTTCATTTCACTTAACTTCTTAACGCACCCTGTATTACGAGGAAAAACTTTGATAAAAGTTGCAAAGCTCTTCATTACTTCATTTAAGAGGGACTAGAGCCTACAACAAAAGCCAGGGTCATATCCGAACCAGCTCCCGCCACAGAAACGTTCTGTTCCACCAAACAAAACAGGCAGACAATTGTACCGAGTAACATTATTTAAATTGACCAGTTTCACAATAACAAATGGCGTAACGTTAAAATAGTTTAAATTGCAAACTTACCTTGTGTACGCGCCGGCGTTAGGAGAGCGATCCAAAGTAAAGCACACAGTAGCATTATGTGTCACTAAAGTCACTTTTTCATGTCACACACTGAACTCGCGTCGATTGAAAGTAAGAGTGACGTTTGACAGTTGACGGTAGCGCTCGGTCGTGCGCCTGAGTTGGACTGGGGCCTGGCTTTGCTGGCGCCCGCGCGATCCCCACCGTTGCCTTTCACCGTTACGTCTACCAAACTGCGTTGAGCAAGGCTACGACGATTGACATTCAGCAAAAACGGACCGCATACCTACGGAAATAGCACCCGGGTTTGGCCAATAAGGCCTGGCCTTTTCGTGAAAGATCAGATGCAGGGCTGATCTGCGCGTGGGCTGCATTGTGTTCGGATTTCGACTCGTTTTAATGAGCAGGTGTATGTTCAATAGTTCGGAATTTAGAGCAGGTGCTAAATTATTTACCAACTAGCGGCCGCCCGCGACTTCGTACGCGTGGATCTCGTTTTACCCCCCCTTCATCTATCTTACGCGGTTCAGATTTTTCATACAAATGTTATTTCCCGCTAACTCCCGTTCCCGTGGGAATTTTGCAATATCCTGTTGTAACTAAGCTTTAAGTTTACTAAGGTACCTGCATGCCAAATTTCAAGCGTCTAACTTAAGCGGTTTAGATTTTTCATACAAAAGGATTTTCCCGCTAATTCCCGTTCCCGTGGGAATTCCTAAGTATCCTATAACCTGCCCAGGAGTATGAAGAATAATTGTACCAAGTTTCGTTAAAATCCGTCGAGTAGTTTTTGTTTCTATAAGGAACATACAGACAGACAGACAGACAGACAGACAGACAGACAGACAGACAGACAAAAATTTTACTGATTGCATTTTTGGCATCAGTATCGATCACTAATCACCCCCTGATAGTTATTTTGAAAATATATTTCATGTACAGAATTGACCTTTCTACAGATTTATTATAAGTATAGATGATATCCTCATATGGATTAAAACATATCTCTATCAAATGCATAATAATATATTTGGCGACTACACGATGTTGGTTAAGATAATTAAGCTCTACTTTAAAATTATAAAAAAAAAAATATAAAAGGTTTTAGTAGAGCTTGGCCTCTACCTGAGTGTAGAAGTAAATTTATTTAGACAGGTAATTTTGTTAAAAAAAGTTAATAGAACATTGTATATTAAATATCTAGGTCAAGATTAGTAAATATTAAAATTATCTAGGCATGCCTTCAACACCTACAAGCTTTCCAAAACAAGCAATCATTTAAATTGTAAATTCATCAAAACTAAGCCAACTTGGCCAACTAAGCATAGAATTTATTATGCCTTATATTTTATTATTATGGCCTCTAAAGCAAAAAGCTAAGCTATTGATGAGCAAAAAATTTACGAAATTTTTCGAAGAGGCTCATAAAGCCCGCCAGTATTTCCAATCAACTCATTTTTGAAAAAAATAGATTTTGTATAATAATTTAATAATGTGCTCAGTTAATAATCTTTTAGAGAGGAAACATGAAGTACAGGGTGGCCCAGAAAGAAATTCACTTTTGAAAATTCAAGGAAAAAAATCTATGTTATTTTGTAGAACTTTATTCATTACAATTCAAAGAAAATTAAATGAAATTTATTTTTAAACGTACCTTTATAAAATTACATCGTCCAGGAGATTTCCTTAACGCTTACAACATTCGATCAACATACATAAAAATCTTCAAGATGCGTTCGTTAGAATAGGCTAGTTGCCTAAAAAAATTTTTTTAGTCCGTAATGTTTAATATCAAAAAATATTGGACACATATATTTTTATTTGTCAATCTAACAAATAATTACATAGTTATGGTGCGTTGAAGTTGCGCACGACGTCACAACGTGCGGCATTTTTAAGCAAGCGTTGACGTCACGGGCCTCTTCTTATGAACTTTGGGGCGCTTTATCTCTTTAAATTTTCATTAGTTTGAAAAAGTGAAAAATACGTGTAGAGTATTTTTTGATAAGTTAACTGACGGACTAATTAAAACTCTCGCTTTTTGACCCAGGCAACATCCCCATTACCTCGAAACCTATTTTCCATTTTTTGCCGAATGTTCAGCTTTAGTTGCTGCATGGTTTTTGGATTATAGAAGTATACTGTATTCTTAAGGTAACACCACAAAAAGGAGTTTTCTGGAGTGAGATCAGGGCTTCCTGGTGGCCAGGAGATGTCACCCCTGCCTGAAATAATTTTTTTGTGGGAACATATCTCTTACCATCTAAATGCTCTCATTTGAAGTGTGACATGTAGCCCCATCTTGATAAAACCAAGTGCTCCTGTCTTAGCCTTGCGAATCTTGCCACTTTGAAATCAAAAAGCTTTCCAGCATGCCAGTATAACGTTCTCAAAAATTAATCATCCTTTCGATACAACAAACCAATTTAAGCAGGGGTGAAATCTCATTGCCACTAAGAAGCAGGGGTGAAATCTCATTCCAGCAGACTTCTTTTTATGGGGTTACATTATGAGCATAGTATACTCTCATAATCCAAAAACTCTGCAGCATTCATCTATCCTGAATCCGTTTCAAGGTAACTCTTACGAAAGTTTTCCAAAATTTTTATGCATGTTGACCGAATGCTGTAAACGTCAAGGGAATCACATCATGTACGATCAAAATTAAAAAAGAAAGTAAATTTAAAAATAAATTGCATGAAATTTCCTTTAAATTACAATAGTTAAAGTTCTATAAAAATTTACAGTTTTCGTTTCCTTAAATTTTCAAAAGTGAACTTTCTTCTGGGCCACCCTGTATTATAAGTACTTTTTTCAAGATAATTACCTACCTCACAAGAAATCCTTTTCCACTCTTGTTACCCTCTAAAAGTCGGTTACTTTTAGTTAGTGAAATTAATGTCCTAAATATTTAGGAAATTCCCAAATCTAGCATCCGCCTGGTAGCGACACCCGCATAGTCAGTTTTAGCCAAAAGGCTTTACCGGAGGCTAAGTTTCACAACAAGTATCTGATTTGGCAAGATTTAGGCGAAAATACAATATTTCAGGCCACCTATATTTGTAATCGATCTGTGACCTTACTAGTTTTACAATATCTTAATAAATAAGCTAAGGCTGAGTTGCACCAATCTACTTTAACTTTGAAAACGTCAAAAATCTGTCAAACTCCATACAAAAAGCACCGGTTATTGTTACGGTTAAAATAAGGTAAGTGAGGAGGCTAAGTGTAACAAAACCTTTAAGACATGTATTCATTAGGCAACATTTGTTGATAAACACTGTTTATAAACAATGTTTCATAATCTCTGTAAACAGTTTATAGACAGTCCATAAACATAGGTGATGAAACATTGCTGCACACAAACACCGCTATGAGTGGAGAGCCAAGTTTCAGAAACCTGTGTTTATGGTAAACTTGTTTCACACTAGTCATAAACAGTTTATTAACAAATGTTGCCTAATGAATACATTTACATATGGCTTTAGTAGACAAACGTTTTGAATTCATTTTAACCTTACAACCGTACCCTATTTATTTTCTGTAAGTAACGTCTTGTCTAGGGACATCATAACGGATTAAAGTATATTTTACAGATCATTTGGTAGGTACATCAGGCTGCAGGGCAAAGCGTGTTGCGGTCGCCATTTCATAAAAGTACGGAACATTCATTAACTAAAGAAAGCCGTTAGAAACCACAATATTGCGTTTTACTTGGTAATTGGCCCCCATAATACACGCCGAGTTATTTGTAGTCATAAAAAGGTTGCAAAACTTTTAAAATTCTCTATATAATATTTCTCTATTACTTATTTTAGTAAACAGCTGCATTCATTGCAAATATTATATTAATATAATTGTTGTATTTGTTAATATATAGTTTATAATAATATAATTAATATTATTATAAACTATGTATTTTTTAAATAATTAATCACAATTCGCAAATAACGTGCTGTATAGAAATCATAGACTTTAATCAAAGTGACATTAAGGCTGAGTTGCAAAACATCCTGATAATAACTCAGGGAAAGTTCTCAGCTAAAGTTAGGCAGTTACTTAGGCTGAGTTGCCCCACCTAACTTTAACCGTAACTATAATGTTAACTGATATTATTTGTATGAGATTATCATTTTTGTGACGTTTGTTATCGATTTTTTTTTTGTATGGAGTTTTCGATTTTTGATTCGATCAAAAAGTGCAACTTGTCTAAGGGGCAGGTATATTTAGTAGAATAAAGTAGAGGATACCGGGACAAGTTCCATACTTATCTCAATCTTCCGTTTTAATCTCCAAAGTCGCCACACGAACCACCATCAAGTTGTGATTGTCAATAATCCCTTTTGATCCATTTAATGCAAAAAATATTACATAATTGCCTATAGCAGCTGTTTCTTAGGTAAGCTATGTAGATTCCCATTGCAAACGTTGCGTTGCCTTACGGAAATAGACAAATAAGGTAGTGTATGTCTAACTAACGGTTTTACGTATGTTTCTACCTATTATCACAGAATAAATAATAGTAGTACCTACTATTGTGCGATAATACCATCTCGTTAGAGCCCCCAATACAGGTATTTTTGTAAGTTATCTTTTCATACTTATGTGTTGATTGCCACTAAACTATTTTTTGTTGTCTCTTGTTGAGATTTCAGCTAAGTACTAACTCTACTTTTGATTCAATAAAATGTTTACCAAAATTATATTTTATAGTAGCGCCTCAATATCTGAATTTATTAATATTATTCAATCATTCACTTTGTCATAAGACTACTTTTGATCAATCAAAAACTGGCTACCCATTAAACTTCAAGTTCATCTATTAAAAAATTCGACTTTAGTTCTTGATAAACGGTGCATCAGACGCTTCGTTAGATGAAATTGCTAATGAAAATTGTTAAGGCGCGTTGAACGAGAACATAATTATGCATCATCAATATTGTAGGGTTGAAATAAATCAATCATTGTTACACATATAGACATCTTTATTGTGAAATACACAGATACAGATTAAAACACATAAAATGCATTTCGTAGTACATAAATTCAACCGTCTAAGTACATTAGATTGAGAGCATAGGACACAAAACCTGAAATGCTTGAGGTAAGTCTACCACAAATGTCTACATCAGTATACAGATAGGTAAAAATGTGCTACATGGCACCATAATGTTTAAATATTTAAAAATAATACTACTTATGGACGATAGGTTTCAGACGGTAAAAATATTTTTAGTTAAACTGTTTTCCCAATAAAATATCGTTCCAAATCTGTTTAAATTGAACATACAAAAACAAATTCGTAGGAATCTAGATTTTGGTATACAATTTATAAGCAATTAATACCTTGTTACCAGTAAATACATATACGGGGACACTACTTTTATACAAATACAATATCAACTCTCCAAAAACAGTCTTCGATAAGATACAAAAGTTATGCCTAGATAATACAATAACATAGCAAATAATCTGAGGGTTCAAGAGAATCAAAATTGATCTTTACGATCGTAAACTAAGCATGAATGAAGTTCGCGTACGATGTTGTAATGGCGCCGTACAACCCCTCCAGTGGCAGAATCAAGGGATGGGCACGGTAAAGGACAATGACCTTGCCCCAGTATAGCGTAAAACAGTGATGTAACTTTCGTTACAACATTACACAGCGCAGGTAGAGCATATATTTTGAAACTTGTAACACAAACAAAAAAAACCGCTAAAATATTTTATTTAACATTGAGATTGATTTTGTTATTAAAAACTGACATTTAGTGCTTAGTGAAAATTTTAAATTCCTGGTTAGTCTAAAAAGTTATATTATTTTAAAATAAAATCAGTAGGTAGGTAGTTCAAGATAGGTACTTTTATATTTAAATTGGAATATCAAACTAATAAACACTTTTTGTAATAAAGTGAAAAAAAACCTACATAATCTGACTAACAGGATTCTTCGAAAACAGACTGAATAGGTGAATGAAAAGGACGGAAATATATTGATTAATAATACTGATTAACTCTTGCATTTGAAATAAGACTACGAAATCTCTGTGGCTACTCTACCAAGCATGACGTAACTATTTTTTATATTATAATAAAAGGAAACATCGATTGTAAGCTTAAATGCTAATATATGTATAGACAACTACGGTATTTTTATATCTTATTTCCAAGTACGCATGAACAGTTAAAAAAGCTTGAACACCATTTTGAATTTAAAACATAGAACATCTCAGTTGACTAAAAAATCCCATAGAAGTAAAACAATTCTCAATACAGTAAAAGCCTGACATGTTTTTCTATTCGACAGTCAAGATTCAAAAGGTAAAATTTGGCTACAATAACATTGTTTACTTAAAACTAATACTTAAGTATTACATTTAAAACTATTAGCTAAAAAGGAGTAATCTGTGTAAGTTGATCAAAATTGTAAAATCCTAACCACATTCGTTTCTCACAAATAGCGACTATAGTAGTCAGCAAGTAGAAAAGACTGTAATGAATATTACACTTTGTAAAAATAATTTCTTAGAAGTAAATAAATTATATTTGTGCGATACTTTGAGTATGAAATTGTTGTTGTATTAATAGACACGAGATAATACCTAAATAATCATGAGGAATGTTAACGAAAATAAAATTATAATAGTTTATTTTATAAAGTTTATCTTTATATAAAAATATATTATAAATATCCAAATAGAAAATAAAAGCATTTAATATCACGTCGAAGAACTTTCATCTTTCACTATGCATATTGTCACTATCATGACCACAAAATGTGATTCATGATTATTTTTAAAACTACTGTTTTAACATTAAATGTCAATAATTTTCTATTTTAATAACCGGAAAAACTATTAAGGTTTTAAGTTGTATTTACTATTAAATTTTTGATAACTTACCAATTTTAAGGTAGCCCTACGATGTAAGATTTTTCAATGCCAAAAATGTTAAATATTTTCTACCGTACCATTCTTAACAACGTGTATTTTAAAACATTTCATCACAGACTCTTTTACTTTTAAGTTTCTTTTTTTGGTTTGTCACAAACACTTAACTATATGAATGAATTTTTTTTTCTTAAAAGTTGACCATCTTTTCAAACGTTTCCCAAAGTTTTTTTTTTTCAATTTTTTATCATATTTTTACGAATAGCTGGATAAAAATACAGTAAATAGGTATACACATTAACTTCATTACCTATAATACATATTATATTAGCGCATTTTTTTCGTAGGTGTAACTTATGCTGCATTTAAAGTACAAGGGTCAAAAACTGAATATTTTAATAGGTATAACTACAACACCGATATTGCAACACTTATGAAGCTTTTTTCAAGTATATTATTACTCTTTAATAACACATTAAGAATAATCAAGTCAGCAAAGTAATTAAAAGCTGCTTACAGAAAACACTTTTCCTACAGAAAACTCGTTATCGCAAATATCCATACCGTAAGTCATCAGGGTTCAATTGTTCAATATCCGTTTCGTTCCTATATCGCTATGTAATGGTCAGTTGTCCTTAATAAAGCCAAGTCGGTAGTTACAATAATGTGAACGTTAGAAATGTTTTTCCAATTTCAAATACAAGTCTCAAAAAATATCAATCGCATGCGATAGCCTAGCCACATTTCTAGCGTTCACAGTATATCGCCAAGAGATCTAGTGGTTTAATACACCCACCTGCAGACTTGTTCTTTATTAGATCATAACTCCTGAGTGTCGCGGGAAGAAGACGCGCCACGCTGCGGGCTGCTAGAGTTCATGGCCTGGTGCATGATATGAACCCTCACATCGCCAGTAGCAGATTTGTACTCCAACGCCCTCCTGTGACGGTTGCTGAACGAGCCAGACAGAGAACTCTTGCAGCAGCAGTAATAGAAGAGATGAGCAAAAGCACGCCGGAAGTTTCTGTTCATGCAGCTGTAGAGGAAGCTAGTGATGATAGAGCGGCAGACTCCGAGCCAAGCGCAGTGGTAGTACCGAGAATCGATGGTACCAGGAGACTTGTTCACCAGAATCAAGTAGGGCAGCCAGGCCAAAACGTAGAAGACAAAAGCGGTCATATTCAAGCTGGTGGTCGAAAAGTCGCGCTCGTACTGCTGAGACCTCTTGTAGTACATATGCTCGCGTGCACGCCTCCGGACTCGAACGCAGGAAATAGTCAATCCAATGAACGTGATGATGCCAGGAATTCCGTGAAAGATGACAGTTGTAGCAATACGGTAGTAGAAGTTACCATAGTGGCGCCGCTCGCAGTAATCGTAGTCTAAGCCGAGGAGGACGCCGATCCCAGACATGGTAACGCTTACCGCCAACACCGTGATCGTGATCAAAGTTACCCGCATGGACATGAAGGTTTCGTACTCCGGAATTGAGCAGCATATTCGGTAGTATCCTTCAATCGCTACCAACTGTGGACAAAAAATTATTTTAATTTCACTAGATCGTAATTTCCTACTAATATGAATGATATAAAAAGTTTTCAATGTACTTACAACAAAAAAGAGGCTATAGCAATAGGTGGCTGTTTCAGTTAGAAATTGCAGACTGTGGCAGACCGGCAAGATGTCCCATTCGCCAGCAGAGAGGAGCACCACCGCCGAAATGGGCATCACGCCCGTGGTGAGAAGCAAATCCGATAGGCCAACACATGCCAGAAAAACGTTGCCTGTAACAAAGAAAACTTTTGTTACTTTCAGGAAATATTCCCATAATGATCCAGAAAACCACGCGAAATATCACCAAATTCGATTTAAACATTTAATGAATAGCAGAGAATAACAGTAACTAATTAGCTTGAAGAGGCGAAGCGAACGACGTTTCATTCAGTCCATACAAAGGCAATCGGACATAATTATCCTAGTTTAACTATCATTAATTACTAAAATTAATAATATTAACATTCATATTAATTAGTTACCTACTCAAGTAATAATTTATAAAATTTTCATTGGAATCGGACAATGTTTGCTATATTTAGTTATTCAGAAATAAAACTGCTACATTTTTTTGACTGAACACCATTACAAACAACAGTTTTCTATAACCATCTACTTTAACTAGGTACATGGTGAGATTTTGTTTAAGGAAAAAAACACTACCGGATCATCGTACTTTTCAACAGCAAAAATAACTTAAAAGTCCATAATTATGTAACCAGTCTAAGTTATATCTTCCCCGGAATCCCGGAACCATTTCGAAATGCACACCTAAGCACTATCAATATTTCACAAAAATGCCACACTTAAATACAACTTTATAAACTTTGCCTTCATAAGACTGATATTCTCCAAAAAAGGATGAAAATAAGTTTCACAAACTTCAAAAAGTCGCACGAGCTTAAATTTAAACGCGCTAGCGCCGCTAGCGCAGGCATGAGCCAAACTTTGAACTAATCGGGCATTAGAGCGATATTTGAAAAGCAAACTTTAAAGGTTCTCTTTAAAAAATCACTTGCACTTGCACTACATTCAAAAATTTACATTACACCAAAAACTACAGTGTTTTTATTCACATACTTCACAATACTCACCGACTCTTTTCAGAGTATGTTCGACGAAGAAAGCCGCCACGAAGAATCCATTGATAGTCGTCCCGATACAGGCACAAAACACCATGAAGATCAGCCGGCCTAAGGTTGGCCATTGTTGACTAAGTGTCACCGGCGAGAAAAACCGGGTCGTATCGTTCCCTCCGGAGTTAATTCCAACCCCATACATAGGGGGAGCGACCCCTGGCATGACAAAAAAAAAGTATTAACACACACAAAACTTAGGACATTACGCGCCGGTTGACGGCCAACTACTAAAGCCGGTGCAGCAGACCTCCTCTGGGCACTGCTGGATCACCAACTGCCGCTAGCTACTGGCCAATGTGAATATATAAAGCAGTCCCCTACCCCACTCCCCCTCCCATAGGTTCCCAGGCAAAACCACCCACGCAACTAGGACTCATATTTGCGTTTTTTTAACAATCACTGCTTGTAATTAGTTTATTTCACTTCGTATTATGCTTATAATACGGAATTACGTACTTTTTTGGGAAATCTACGGCCTTTTTCACACTTTTAAATTTTTTTTTCTTCGACAATACTATTTATTTTTGCTCATTTACATCAAAACTATGTCTTAAAAAGTTTAATAAAACTATATTTTATCAATTTTTTGAAAAAAAAAGACAATAATAATAAAGTCTATTTTTAGAACACTTTATTTCCGTTTACAATCGGCAGTTTTCTTTGAGTAATATTGTACTGTGGCGCGCCAGGATACACTCGAAAGGATCCTATTATCGCGCCAAACTTCCGATATATTTTTTTAAATATTTCATAGTTTTGTTGTGTCATGTCAAATTATTTCTTGTGTGTATTTTTGACACTGTTTAGCGTTCACTTTTACTTTCAAACAATGTAGTTAATTTTCTTGATTAGTTATTGATGTAAACACAGCACTATTTTATTTTTATTTAAATTTTAACCATTGTTATTGACATGAAATGTGAGTATGGCGGGAAAACTTGGCGCGATTTGAAAACGGCCATGAAGACTGCAACTGGAGGTGAATGAACTCACGTTATGCTCCACACTGGAGGGGAGTCGTTCCTATCCAGCCGTTACGGCATGCGGTAAGGCCTGTAGCAGCCTCTAACACTGCAAAAATAAACGTATTATTGAAAAAAAAACAATACGTACAATTTGCGCGAATCTTGAACAGCTCAATTTTTATTTTTGGCGAATTGTTTAGATTTCGTAAGATGAATTTAATTTATGATTTACGGAAAAAGTTTTTACAGGTTGAAAATAATGGGCTTTCGCCGCGGAGGTTCGATTCGTACTGAATGCAGCCTGTGTGATGCAAACGTTGAGTGAGATATGGCCCTGAGAAGTTCAAGGTCTAACAGGGCCGTAGCGATAGTGTAGTTGAAAATTATTTTAACCTACTTTAACCGTTTCTGGGGATAATTCTAAATCATCTGAAGGGTAAATATCATTTTTGTTTGATTATATGACAGAATATGTAAAAAAAAAAATTACATACATACTATCCAATTAAAATTTTGCTATTTTTTATAGTATTATGAGTATTTTTGTAATTAAAAATAGCTTTAATTGAAATTGTTATTTAATTTTAAAAATATATAACAATAACACTAAAATATTAAATTAATTATCAATTAATAAAATATTTATATAATGACTTATTTATTAATATACCATTTTCAGGTTTTCAGGGAAATAAAACCGAACGAAATGCATCTTTCAAACTATCAGGCACAACCGTTGAATGAGGTTGATAGAACAAATAGCAAAAATGCGTGACTTTTTAAAAATAATTAAAACATTAGCACAAATAATTCTTAACGTTATTATTGCTATCAATTTATTTATTTATCAACAGCAGGATAATTTAACTTGATGATGCTAGCAGTTTCATTAGATATTTAAGATTTCCATATTTAGGTAAAATATATTTTGTTCACATAATAATTATTTCGTTTTCGATAATTCGATAATTAAATAACCATAATAAACAGTCACAGTAACTTGCGATAGTTTACTGTTTACATAAAATTATTTAGGTTGCTTGTTTACTTTACAGGTGCCTCAGTTAGGTAACTGATATTAAAACTAATACGCTGTGTAGAAAACAAATGAATTAATTATTGTCATTATGCAAAGTGCGGCAAGAACTTTTTTACACAAACCATGAGGTTGAAAATTTATGGTGGGTTAAAAAAAACTTTTACGAGTCCCGGTTTATTGTTCGTTTTATGGACCGGTGACGTCAGTTACTGAATACCAGATGTTTAGAGTTTGCTCACAACATTTCAACTCGAAAACTACGCCTCTAAAAATGTAAACAATGGAACTGTTGAAATAAATAAATTACATAAAAAATGCTTAAAAAGGCATTAATGTGCAATAGAAGAATCATTTACTATTGCTGTTTGAATATCCCATATTCCCATGACATAAAGCACGTAACCGATTGCACTGACCTCTGCATCTAGGTCATAGGGACAGTAGGATTTATGCAAGCTTACTCATCTGCTCGTAGATTTTATAAATTGTTTACTATATCCTATTTTTGTAAATTGAAACCAGCGCATTTTAATTTATTTATCAAAATACAAATAAACACTTCGCTTCAATACGTACCTGGATATCGTAGTAAAATATATTTTTACAAAATTATACCATGTCGAAAAGTTCAGCGTTCAACACACAACACTATAACAACTTGATAAAAAAATACAACAATAAAATCCATCGAAAAATTCGAAAAAACACCACAATGTTTTTATAAAATATCCGAGACCATGTATAAAAATATGAATTTTCGTGCACACGTCTGTCACGCCGCTCACATAATTATTATTGTGCTACCTTCTTAATGTAAAAAAAAAAATATTAACTAAATTTTAGGTGGTGAAATCCGTTCTGTTGCTAGGCGTGGTGGGCGGGTATCGGAGTAGGGGGTTGCTGCGCAGAGGGGTGGTTTGGGGCAGTGCGCAGCCCCCTGCGCGAATTTCGGGTTATAAAAGGCGACAGTGAGGCGGCTGGAGATCGAGTACAGTCTCTCGCGATTCTCAAAGTCTACGCTCGTTCCCGTGCTCTGTGGTGGCGCTGGTGTCTACTCTCCTCCGTCTCTAGTAAGAACTTTTGAATTTTCTCAGTGTTGTGTGTTAAAAAATTGTTTTCACATCATTAATGTCCAAAAAATCGCGATGGGTGATATACATACCGATTCCTTTACGCAAAACCCTGCAGCCCTGTGATAACCAGTTTAAAAGTTTCTTGAAAACTTTTATTTAGCGGATTTTTAGTTTCAAAGTGGTAAAAACATTGGAAAAGTATAGAAAATAGTTCTGTCGTGTGCCTTTTTCTGTAAGGTCAAGAAAAGCTCTCTCATTTTTAGTTTTCAATGGCTTGGTCATAATTTTTCGTAGTTGTGTGATTAATAGTGTTTTATTTTAAAGAAAAGTTAATTTTTCCAAGTGTATAATGTAAGTGACCATCAGTTATTTTTATTATTAAGTTTAACGTATAATATCCTCGTTGTTATAACAACGGATTTTAAATTTCCAAAAAGTGCGACGTAACTTACCTTCGCAAGAGTTAATAATATACCTACGTAGCTCGATTTTAAAATTGAATAGTTACATACATTTATCTAAGAGGGGAAAATGATATAAAATACAAAACATTTTGGAAAATATCTATATTAATGTAGATGAGCACTTAACTTTACTACTGTTTCTACTTTTTCAAATTAGGTAGCTACGCATAGCTGTTGCTTAAAATTTATATTCATAGAAACACAAGTTTCGTTAAACTTACCTTCTACTCGATTAAAAACTTTCTTATTTTCAATTTTAAAAGACTTTTTATCCTGGCAATATAAGTTACAAAGCTGAAGCAATTTGTTTTACATAGTAACTTGTTTATAAAAGACTATCATGACATATTTTTATTAAATTTATTGTTCCTTTTTAGGGTTCCGTAGTTCTGACAAGGAACCCTTCTTATAGTTTCGTTAATGTCTGTCTGTCCGAGGTTTTGCTTGGAAACTATTGGCAGTAGAGAGCTGTAATTTTGTGGAGGTATGCCGACAAAACGGTAAAATAAAATTTTGAAAAAATATTTTTTTTAATGTAGTAAAGTGGGGATGAGTTTTTTATTCATCTTGTACCCCATTGTGTGGGGTATCTTTGGATAGGTCTTTTAAAATGGCTTTGGGGTTTCTATGATAATTTTTCGATTTAGGGATCCATTTGCAAAATATTCAAATAAAGTGCCAATTATTGTTCTAGCAAGCCGTCTCAAAAAAAAACTAAACTATTTGCTTGAAAAATCTGGAAAAAAACATAATAATACTGCTTTTCATGAACTTTCAAGGAAAACTATAACGGTTAAGATAGATCAATTAGTTTAAGAGTAATAGTCATTTAAGATTTTAAACTTTCGCGTTCCATTTCAACTAAAATAGTAAGACACGGGTCTTAACGCGACGTTTATTAATAAGTTACATTATGTACTGAGGGCTTGACGTTTCGGCTGCTATGCTGCAACCGTGGTCACAATTAAATAGTCATTTAACTCATGTACCTAATTATTATAAAATTTCTTAACTAATAAAAATTCCGTACAATTGTGTTAACGACGAACAACTACGGAACCTTACACTGCGCGTGGCACGACACGCACTTGGCTTTTTTTTTATATTCCATGTTAATAAAATATCATGGACAACTGAAGGGTGAAAAAATGTTGGCTTAGAACTTTACCAACTAAGGGCCTTTGAAATTTCGCTGCCTAAAATTTGCCATTTGGTACCTAGATAGTTGTTTATTAAATACAGTAACTATCATTTATTATAACAACAATACCTACTTTTTATGCATAACAAAAGGCAGGTTGACCATAATCGCACCTGGTGTTAAGTGGGATGCAGTCTAGGATGGTACATAATATCCGCCCTATAAGTGCCTATTCACTCTCGCCTTGAAAAGGCTCGGACTAAAATTTTGTAAATAACTAGGTATCCCGGCTTTAACTACAATAATAGATTTCTAATTTCAATACGAATTGCCTATAGATCCAATAATCATGGGCATTAAATAAAAGTACTACGGAAATGACAGTTTAATTCAATAATAAAATTAAGTTTTTTTAATAGTCCCTTTGTCTTTTTAGAACAATGTAATTTGTAAACCAAAGAAATTTTAATACTTAATTGTGTTTTATTTAGTTGTAGTTAATAAAATATTAAGTAGTCACATATTTATAGAAAATTATGAAGAACATTCGCAATGAGTAACAACAAAAAACTTTTTAAGCGTTTTTAAAATTGTAGGTAATTCAAAATGTCGTTAAAAGATTATCCATTGTGTAATTATGAATTACCTACTTACAATTAGATCTTTTGGGTGTTAATTAGGAGTTTAGCAACATCCGCAGTAAATAATACCACAGTAGATAATAATACGAATACCAACATGCCAACATTCTACAGTGAAACAATAAACTTTTTAACTTTCGCGCTCTTTTGGTTCCGGATAGCTGGATAGCGCCAAAGTTTATCACCAATAGGATCGGACCGATTTATTTCTTAGCTGCTTCTAACGCCATCTAGTTGAGAGTATAAACAATTAGGAATATTATTATGTTGGTAGCATTGGCGGCTTGTGAGCGTGTTCTTGTTTTGAACAAAAAATAAATAAAAATCTTCGAGTACATAGATAAGGAGATGTCATAAAACAGTCGCCCATAACGAAGTGACAGTCCCGGGACCATTGTTTAGTGTAAATATTCAAAAAATGTTACCTGATCAGAGAAAAAAATGCTTGCGGTGATCAAAAGGATAAGAAACATTAAATTGTAATTGTTACAATATTAATAATATTATGTCAAATAAAAAAGAGACATCCTGTAATAATGCCCATATTTATGAATGAATAAAAAAGAAGTTGTTGGTGCTGTATATTTTTTCAAAATATTGATCGATTATAAAATAATATTTAAAAATCATGTTCCCTAATAGACAATCAATGTAAACTAAACTGTAAGTAAACGGTTTGTATACCTATGTATGGCTATTACAAATAAATTAATGTATATGGATGTACGGAATCGAACCAGTGACCTTTAGTTTACTAGACCAATAAGTCAGCCCAAATCTAGGTGGGTGGGGGCCTATTTATAGCTTCTAGCAAAGAGTGAACAGGATAGCGCAGTAATTCTACCTGCGTCATTAGTATTGATTGCTTTGTCGATGCACCCCCTGCCCCTTGTAGTCATGTGTCATACGTCCAGGACCTGCGCTTCGTAAGTAATTATTTTTCGTTTGTCGTCAGATTGCTCTCACATCACACCGTGCGCCTGTTCGCTGTGTGCTGGTATTTACCAACGGGTTTTTTCCACATCGGGCTGTCCATTTGTCTTCAACGCCGTGCTCCTGTCTGCTGTGTGTGGATACCTACTTAGTACAAAAAAAACTACATAAGTGCTGAATAAGCACTCATTTTTTTAAGGGGACTGTTTAATCTTTTTCTAACTCTGTAAGTATCTAAGCTTTACATTATAATTATACAATTACGCATACACATATAGCTTCTACCTTCGTGACTTGAACCGTTTTCATCAATATTATTACAGTTGTTTCCGTAAACAATGAGGATCAGTACTGTTGTAGAAAATGCAATAAAACTAGTATCTACGTTAATGACATAAGAAAGATATATCTTTTTGAATTATCCAAATCGGACCATTACTTACGAAGATATTAAGTAATAAACATAGGCCTTTTTGCCGCTAAAAGTCAACATACGCAGGGCCGCGTGACGTCACTATATCCGAATCGAGCGCAGCCGGCGTACTATTGGGATGGAAAATATTTTTTCCAGCTAAACTATCAGTTTTAGAAAAAAACTTTTAATAACATTTATTCATCAAAATAAAGTAGGTAATCCATCGACCAGTCATTTTTAAAAATAAAAATTGTGAAAAATAAGTATGGCTATGTCCAAAGACCACATTTTCATAGGATTCGATGGAATGCGGAGACGCGGATGAGGTGAGTGTAACTTTATGATTGTTTGTATTGATAAATAATACCCAGCTTTTAGCCTGGGGGAGGGGCAAGCCTTACCCAGCTTCTGGCCTTGGTGGGAGGGGGGAGAGGCAAGTCATACCCAGTTTCTGGCCTAGGGGGAAGTCATGCCCAGTTTATGACCTGGGGAGAGGAGGGGGGTGGGGGAGCCATACCCAGCTTCTAGGCTAAGATTAAATAATTTCCAGGAGGGAGCAGCTGTCCTTTCTTGCAGCAGCTGGCCCGCCCATAGGAACGGCGAATAGATAGGTAGGTAACTACGTAGGTTAATCTCAGAAAAACTAAATAACAGGTAGGTATTGCGTCTACATCGAAATGATCTTCATAGCAATGTCTTGCTTGTAGCCTATGCAGAGTGTATCTGCCTCAGCTATACCTTATTGTTAGAAGTAAATAAATTAATACTTATAGGTACATTTTTATATTTTACTTGGAAGAAGATATGACTAACAACACTTATGAACACTTCATTTGAATAAATCGCCAAATATACCACCGCGGAGACCCCAATCGCGTCTCCGCGTTCCATTGAATCGTATGAGCATATGGATTTTTTGCGACATTTATCACAATTTCTATTTTTAAAAATTACCTATCGATAGCTTACTTTATTCTGATGAAGGAATGTCATTACAATTGTTTTTCTCTAAAACTTATAGTTTGGGTAGAAAAAATTTTTTCTATCCACGCAGTACGCCGGCAGCGTTCGGATCGGATATAGTGACGTCATCGTTCCCGCGCCGGGCGGTCAGTAAACTTTTTTAGTAATTTGGCCATAACTTCGTCAATTTTTGTCGTAGAACAAAAATTTTTGGACTTTATATCAAGGATTTCTTAGCCCTATCAATCTGCATTCACAGCTAAAAATCGAAATGATCCTCATTTTATTTATTACGATTAAATTATACAATGACAATAATTATTCATTAATAATTTAACCTAATTTACTTTTAAGTACAATGGTAATCTTAAGGCTATAAGTATAGGAAAATTAGTTAAACCTTTAAAATGATGTAATACTACCAGTGGAGTGAGTTGATGTTAAATGATTGATGTTAAAGTATTTTTAAAGTAATACCTAATTTGTAAACTCGTTGACTTGAGTAGCAGTTTTTTAAGTTTTCTAAATGTTAAAATATTTTTTGTCTTTTTAAGAAATAAATAAATTTTAATAATTTTAAAAAATATTTTGCTCACTGAAAACAATTACTGTTAGTTTTTGCCCGTGGCCAGAATCACTACCGTGGCATAACTTTGATGATGATGGTAGGATTAGATAGCGATATCAAATAGTTATAATCATTGTAACTCAGGTACGACTACAATACTGTTAGGTACTACTACTAATGTCTTCAATACATTCCCGTTTCTTCTCTAGTCACGCTCCATTTTCATTCCCACTGGTGTGCAATTTGGTATCACTGTAAAATTCACGCGCAAACAAAGACAAAACAATGGATATAATTATACACTTTCCATAAAAAGTCCGCACACCTTATTTTGAAACTAAAATGATTAAAACACAGGAATGAATGTTCATGAATTGTTTGAATTGCGTTTAAGAAAATGTTGCTTTCTGTCACTCAAAGGCAAGTTGCACTCCGTTTACGTTACAGCTGAGGTTACAGCTTTGTTTGAACTAGCTGTCAAAAGGACATCGCGACACCGCGATATGAATTATTTGTCTAAAGCTGATTTTTGTTCCGCAATCGGGGCACTACTTACTTTAAACACAAATAATTACAAAAAATGCAATTTTAAACACATGACGTGGTATTAAAAATACTCATTATTAATAAAATACGCTGCAATGCAATAATAATATGTTTTTAAAATAGCTAAAAAAACAATTTCATTATTATAGAATCATTATCATCATCGCCATTCAGTCTTACTCTTGACGACGAAGCTATTGACGGTCGCAAAATGAATTATCCTTAGTCTTAATTAATGACATACATTCACGAGAAGAGTGGGCCAATTCTAAAACCACATGGACGGCTATTACGAGCATTTGTCACATCAGTAGTTATTATGTTATGGTCATGCTCATGATAATCTAATGGAGTTGTGTGGTGCAGCGTGCAGCATGCAAGAAGTGCTAATTGAGAATGTTACTAGGTATGCAAAATCACTTGAAACCTATGTTACAGTTAAGCTTTTACATTTACAAATAAATTATTTTTTATTTCATTCAAAAATACCCAGTAGTTATGATTTTATAGGCATTCAAAGTTCGCTTAAATATTGAGTCCCGCCGACGGTCACCTGATCCCGCGTGACGTACATTCACAGTGTCCGCTCACTAGAAAACGGATATAAACATAGTTACTTAAATACATTTTTTTTTGTAAATACAAACTTATCATACATATTAACACCCATCACAAAAATTAAAATTGAACCAAACCCAAACTTGATGCGATTGTGTCGTTTTATTGCGAATTACCTTCCAGCTTCATCATTAGACCCCGATTACTATATAGAATTAAAATACTCATCAATACAAAACGAACGAGCCCAAACTCATGCATTTAAGTCGTTTATTATAGAGTTCCTATGGCCACCTTCCAGCACATCAGATCAGCTCCATGTCATCATAATATTGCATGGTCATCCAAATCACACGTGTTTGCGAAATTTCAGCTTAATTGGTTGCCGGGAAGTGGGTCTTAATTCAGCTTGCAAGATTCCACCCATACAAATATGAGCCAGTCACTGTAATATGACGTCACGCGCATAAAATGGCGGGCCGGCCGACGCCCGCACTTTTAAAATTCAATATCTTGGAAACTAATAATTGACGTATCGAAATAAATCTTTCACGTGTATTTTTTATTTTTTACAGAGAATACAGAAAGCTAAAAAACAAAATTAGTGCACATTCTTCATTCTATATCTGTGGTGCTAACTAAGAAGTTTTATGGTGATCTAAAAACTTGGAGAGTACTTGGAAAAATGGAACATTGCATGCTTCTTTATATTTTGTTGTCAGGTTGTCAGCATGTCTGGCGACGTATTTGACATTTTACTTCCCGTATCTCATCTGTTCTGTCACTGTCAAAATTCGAAAAGTAGGAAAATGCCGTGTTGTCCGACATGCCCTAAATTATTGTAATAAAATCAGATGTTTTAAATTAAAATGCTGTGGTACATTCGCTCCGACGGTTCCCAGCGTACGTGGCGATCGTTTACTTGACTCCGATTGAAAATATTTCGTTACTCTGGTTCTTCTGGTAAGTGTCATTTTGTTGCAGATCTTTACGACCTTGGTTGGCAGTGATCATCATGTAATTTGGCGCCACAATTGATTCTGTGCCCGCGATAGACCCCTCTAAAACGATTATTTAATCAACGCTCAGATTTTTAATAGACCAGTCGACCTTGCTGTTGTCATTCTGCACCATTTAACCTCAGCAGTAGTAGCGATTATTAGAAAAGGAATACCATCAGCATTTCACTATAGAAGTATTATAAATTAATTTATTATTTACCTCAAACTGTCCTTATCAATTTTTTTTTATTTCTTCAACATAATAATTAGGTTATATTAATAATTATTAGGTTTCTAATTTACTCACCAGTTTTCAATAATCCCTAAATAAAAATGTTTTATACATTAATGCAATTTATTATGTGACAAATCCTATTGAATTGTATTATTTTGTGAATCAAAACTCAGATTTATCTCTTTTTCATTGATCATTATAAACTTTACTATGCTTAATCAATCATGTATAAACAGGAAATTGTTATTAATATTGCTATCATTATTTTTTCAGAATGAGCATCCATCAATATGGAGGTTTCTACCGCTAAGTTACTATCCACCCTTGCCAGTTATTTTACAATTGCATCATGTGCATTTTTGAAAGTTCCGCAAATTATCTCCGTAACCGAGCGCCGGTCAGCAGATGGAATCGTTCTCAATGCTATGTTGATGGAAACTGCGAGGTAAGTGTAGTTTCTTTAAAGATTACTGATTGTGTAAAGATGTAATATAAATACTCTGAGAATTAAAATTATCTCTTTTGTAGCAATATAATGTGTTTAACTTTATATGGGTATACATTTATATGTTCTGATCACAACTTTTAACCTTTTTAGCTTCACCATCATGTTCCTATACAACTATACAAGTAATTACTCTGTAGAAACTTATTTGGAATATCCCATAATATTGGCACAGGTGTATGTGCTATTTTACTACGTGCTGATGTACAAGAGGCTGCTACACCTTAAACTTGTGAAGTTTATCATCGTACTATATTTCGCCTTGATTATTGGCTTTCTTACTGGGTATCTACATCCTATCCTCCTGTCTGTGTTTGTGGTAAGTTTTCGAATGTTTTACTATTATTTATTTCATAAATGAGTTTTGATAATTCATTATTATAAAATTATGTATGACCAAAAGCATGGAACAGAGCATTGCGTTCTGGTGTACAAATCTTTGTAATGTTCGAGTTGCAATGCACCATGAGGCATGGTGCATACCCAGATCAATGTGAATCGCATTCAATGGCGCAAACAACAATTTGCTGTCCACTACCACACTGCATACAGCTTATTAATAAATTTTACCACCTTTTAATGTATTTTTAAAGTCACAGTTTACTTTAATTTATAAATTTCTGTATTTCAGCCCCTATGTACACCTATGAGTGGAGCAGCTAAGGTATCATACCTCTATGGCATCATAGCAGACAACAATGCGGATGGCGTCTCAATCACCACTTGGATTATATCAATATTCACCAATGTCTGTGAGTATACTACCTACCTACAGTTCGTGCCAATAGAAACTGTTAATTTTGTTCATGTTTATTACAAAAATTGACCCAAAATGTTCTCGGGTGATGACCACGGGCCGGAAGACGTAGCGTGGCCAGGTGGTGGTAGGTGGACTGACGATATGGTGGAGATCACGGGAAGAACCTGGAAGTGGGCTGTGCAGGATCAGTCATTGGGGAAATCCTTGGGTAGTGGACGTCAATTGGCTGAAACAAATCAATGAATAATACATATTTGAAGTCAGTGATTACAAAAAGTATTATAATTCAATGAAAGTGAAGCAATCTTTGAAACTACCATAACTGACCAGATTTGCTGCTTGATCGTACTCATGAATTAAATTTAAGTTGATTAAAAGATAATAAATGCTCAAGACAAAAATCTACGTTCATAAACAGGCCATAATTATAGGTATATCTAATCATAGCAAAGATTACTCAGTCATATTATTGCAGAATGTTATAGTATGCGCTATGTAGCGAATGGAGCCATAAAGATTTTTTAGATAAGCACTACGATTGCTATTATGACATGCTAGCGAATATTAACAGCTAAATCATGTTCGTGAATCACGTTATTGTTAAATTTTCAATGCGGGCCGAGGCTTAGCTTTAAAATTTAGATGGATGAAGCAAAATAGAAAACTTTCTTGGGGAAAACACTTTTATGAACATAATATTTCAAGGATTTAGGTTAGGGAAGGACAATTTCATCCTTTATTACAACGAATTGCTGTTGCTTCGTGTATTCGTGTATATTATGGGGCAAACCGTGTCGGCGTATAGCCGATCCGAGATTCGAAGGTATTGATTCCAGTCGCTCCTGGTGTACGATATAATGTTATCGACGATCTTACAGATTTTATACGATTCTAGCGACCCGCCCCTGCTTTGTACAGGTAATACATTATACTTAAAAACCTTTCCTTTCAATCACTTTTATCTGTAAAAAAAAACCGCATTAAAATCCATACATACATAGGGACAGACAAACAGGAAAGCGACATTGTTTTATAAGGTAGTGAAGCCCATACATTTTGTCGTCTTAAATCGACAACATTTTATCGTGCCGTCACGATAAAATGTTATCCACCTCGGCTGGTAAGTTAACGAATAGAGGTTAAATTAGTCATAATTTCTTCCAGCGCGCATCTTCACGGTTTACATGGACTCCGGTGACGTCAAACTGATGTTCAACTTCCTGGTATCCACGATCCTGAGCTCCAGCGTGTTGGCAACAGCTATGTACTTCAAGTTCTTCGTGCCGCCGCCGCCGCCGCCGGGCCGCCCCCGCCGGAAGCCGTCCTATCGACGGTACAGCGACACCATGCACACGGATTAAACGGTTCAACCCTACGTGTAAACTGACCTCGATCATGCATTGAACTGACCCCTTAGAATACCTGAACCCTTTGTCCTTGGTGAGCGACGGAACGCGACGCATTTTCTCCTTTACTAAACTTCATGTGACATGTGTCAACAACGCGACCATAGTTGAACGATTTGAAACGTAAAATGGCAAAGATCGCCTGGCATTGATATAAAATGTCATAATTTTACTAAGGTAGTCTTCCACCTAAGATTGAGAACAACGGGTTAAAATCAATTATCAGAATCAGTCGTAAAAAATATAAAAAATCCATTGAAAAATGAAAAAAAATTAACGTTCGTGGTCAACTTAAACTTTCGGACCAGTTCAGTGTTAAATGAAAGAGGCCAGTGAAAAACATCTTTTATTAAAAATACTCTAGGTCTCATGTAATGTGAAAAATTCGATGGGGTTGTATTATGTTACTTTTTAAATTTATTATCTTTGATGTATATTTGTTTTTTAATATCTTATTGTAATTTTAATGTGATCATATATAGCCTCTTATTATGATGTTCAAAGGTTTTATGTCTACTCGACTTTAATTTATTGTAATTCTGATAATACTCTATATTTTAGGCATGTGCGGTGTATGGATAAGAAAGCGTCAATTATGTGTATAGCATTTGGAATAGGGAAATAAAACTGAAGAATTAGAAATTGAGGGAATAAGCTACTTTAGACGATTTGGTGCATAGCACAATACTTACAGGATTCGAGATAGCTATAAAATGATGAAAAAATTTGGCCAGTAGTGTTCTAGTCAATTTCTGCGTCTTGGTACCAGAAAACCAGAGAGCCAAGACAATGGTAACATCGTTAAGAAGAGGCTCGAATTAGAATAAAGGTAGTTGGTATTGAAAAGTTATGTACAATCCACATCAAAATCATGTTGCGGTATTGTATATTAGATTAGTGTAAAGAATGGTAAAAAAAGAGTATTTTTTTAAAAGATGTAAATAAAATTGTAATCGCGTATTTTTCTGACGACGTTCGACTTCACCGTGTTAGAAATTTCCTGGATAGTATTTTAATAATATCCATAAAAATTATTATCTAAGCATCAGCTAAAGTAAAAAAAAAAAACAAATTTTATCTTATCTTTAGAATAATATCGTAGACGAAGACATAAGTATCTAGACATGCTGTTGAGGATGAATATTGCGTCACATCTCGGGTGTATCCTAAAATAACTTCAAATAACGTAATTTGTTTATGTGAATTGATATAAACAACTTGCGTGATTTGAAATTATTTTACCCAATTAATGACTTTACCGGTATAAATGGTATGAGCACGAATAATATTAATATGTGAGTGTCTTGTCTACGTCGACTATTTTGCGATTCCCGCCGCATAATGTGCTCCCGCTCTCTCTCAATGCGCTAAATGATGTTGATGCTATATTGCTATGATAGCAATCATGATATGAATTATGTGACCAATATCTCAGAGGCAGTATGTCTAGGTACATAGTCTTTACGTAGAATAATAATAAAAGACATTGTTATAATTATATTATAGAAAATATGAAGTATTATATTTATTGATGTATGTTCGACAATGGTCGTGGGATATAAATATCTCGTTTATGGATAATCTCTTTAAAATAAGGTAATATTTAATCAATTAGTGAATTTATTTATTCAATAATTCAATATTTAACATTTTAAACTTAGATTCAAATATAATCGTGTAGTATTAAATGTTACTATTCCTATATTTTCTAGTCTTCTGTTATTAAATATATTTGTACTAAATTCAGTGCAAATCTGTAAGTACAAACCTGGTTTTGGTTCAAACTACTGGATTGGTGCAATTATTTTTTTATGTTATGTTCAAAATTATATTTAATCAGATTTGTGCCAAACATGTTACGGTTCTAGTTCATAGTAGTAAATATATTATAGTGTGATAGTACAGATTTTAATGTATCAACTTATGTAATTCGAATAAATTATGAATGAACAATTTATTGGCGTTTCATTTCTAGAATATCAAAAACTTATGAAGGACTCTACAGCTTAGGGTAGTTGAATATAATTATATTATCCTAAATTGTCGAGAAACCTAGATGTTGTTGTTTTGATTTGAGTAAAAAACAATCGATTAGCTGAATGAAGTGTAGGAGTAGATCAAACACTGAAGTAATATTTAATGTCATTTTGGCTAGACTCGTATAGTTCGTTCGCGTTAACAATGCAGTGAATCTTCAGTGCAAACTGCAACTGCAGGGTAAAGGTGTATTCACAGAAGTGTTAAAATTCAAACAAATTATACACTCGCGAGCAAAAGTATGGAATCACTTACATGAAGTTGTTTACACGCGATCTTGTGTACTAACGAATTTGTTAGGAACAAAAAAAGTGGCACCATTTTAAAGATTAAACTTTTATCTTTAAATTGATACCAAATTCATTTAAATCACACCAGTATTTAAAAAGATATCCCGGCTGATGTGAAGAAGTAAAAATATCAACGGCGGACGATGATGAATCAGTGAATCACTGCATTCTTAACGCAAACGTACTATAGTGTGTAGGTACTTATTTGGGTCATACACGTTTTCAAAGTCAGACCTACTAGGTAACTTGTAGCAGTCTAGTCTGGTATACCTAGGTCTGGCAGAATACCTAGGTCTTCGCAACCGTTCTTAGAAGAAATAATTACTAGGTATGGCGCATGTATATTTAAAATTATAAACCAGTACTTAATGAGACGGAAAACAACACTAAGTGTAGGCGCACATTGGGCGACAGACGCGACGACTAGACGCGACAACAGGCTGCGGCTTACAATTTCATACATTTTGTTCAAAGCATCGCATACTTACTTGGCGTCAGTCGTGGAGTCGCGACTACAAGCTAGTCTAATTATATGAAATTGACAAGGATAGGCGCCAAATCGCCTAGTGTGCGCCTACAATAATATTGCATAACTTCTAAGTCAAATCAAAACGTCCTCACTTTTAAGCTGTTTGAACTTCTGTAAAACTTTTTGTGCCGGGGACAAGTTGATATAAGTGGAAGACTTAATCGTCAACAGGTTAGAGCGAGTCTTTCGTGAAACTCCAAAATTACTCCTTGACGACTTCTTTCTCGACAAGCTGTCTCGGGAGTAGTTCAATCGCTTTGCCATCAGAAGCCGGGAACAGAGGACTCTGGGTGACGTCACTTCAAAAGAAGATGACGTGAGCTTCGACCTTGGGGACGAAATAGAGCCATGGCGCGGGGAACTTATGTAGCAAGGCTCACATCTATACACGTTATGGGACGGTTCTGCTGCCGAACTCTTAACTTCTGGCAACGCCGGCAACCCCTCAGGCTCGGTCGGAGTAGACTCATCAATGTTCCCTGGCGACTGGTCTTCTTGCATCATACCCTGAGGTTCCTGAGCAGCAAAGCTAGATTTACTTGCTAGCTTCTCGGCTTTACGCCTCGCTTTCGCTTTTGCCATCTTTGCATCACTCATAGACCCTATGAGGTGGATATTGTCGTCGATATACTTACACACCGCGTCCGCCTCTTCTTCAGGTGACAAATGAGCATCTCTAAAGAAACCATATCCTTCGCGCAGGTCATTCACTCCTTCAATGATGAGCCACAGAAGAGTAGCTATCACTAAAGAAACAGTTGTGATCACGGCAATAACTGTCGTAACATCAGGCCCTGTAAGCTGGTATTGGATTTTGCCTAGGACACCGTATGTAACAATATTGCGGGTTCTTTTGTTGGAGTGGGCGCGGCACGTGTAAAATCCTCGGAGGTCATTATCAGCTGATGCGACTAGTCTCAAAACTCGTCCATCGTCCACCGATCTCACTTTCTTGTCACTGAGAACGCTGGCTACGGAAGTATCCAGGAAAAGCCAGTGGGCCGAGTGAGGGCTCCGAGCGCTACGCGTGTGAAGGCACGTTAGATTCAACCTGTTAGAATTACCCCAAGCAGTTTCGTGGTAGGAGCCAGACACACTTGCAGTTCTGGAAGATACTTGAACCTTATCGTCTTGGTATCGCTCTACGTTAGCACTACGCAGGTCTTGTAACTTTCCCTCAATTCTAACAGATGCAACGATTCCTTCGAAAGACGTAAACTCCTCGGTAACCAATTTTTTGATCTCGACAGGCACACCCCCTATGTAGAGTTCATCATCACAAATTCCATATTCGTGTGCTGTTGGATGTTCCTTGCTATGACGCTTATGATCATTGGTCTCTCGGACATTTTTATGTGTAAAGTAAATCAAATGAGTCTGAGGTTCACGACGTTTTCGAGAAGAGTCCTCCCCGAATAAAACATGAAGTTTTTCACCTGAATTGATCAAAGCTTCGATTGTATTTGATCCCCTCTTTTTGGAAAACACCACATCAAGCCATTGATCGAATGAAAATTCTGATGAGCTAGCACTCTCTGAGCGGATTTCTTCTGTGGCCAATTTCAACTTCAATCTCATATTTTGTAATGACATGTGTAACCAATTTCCGCTAAGGCCATCTCTTAAAAACAGGACAGTCCCTGTATCTCTTTTTGATTTCAAAGTTATTCCTAAACGCCAGTCATCTTGAGATTTGAAGCAAGGAAGTCTAATGTACTGCTCGTTGTCTAGGCTAAGGAATGCCTCCTCTATATTCGATTTTTCATAGGCTACGTTAGAAACATAAGTGGGATAGAAATCGGATGTTCTTACTCTGCGGTCTCGTTCAATCATCATATTCAATGGAATGAAATTGAGTATAAGTTCCTGTATTTCGCCATGTAATCTTTCACCTACAAAGATATTGACTTTGTCGTTCGCTAGGTCGGGGTCGCAGGGGAAAGTACTTTTAGTTGTGATTTGAGAATCGTCCAGCCTCACAGAAGCAGCTTCGCTTGTAACAGTTATCATGGCGGAATGCCAAACAGCTGGATCAATAACTTCAGTTGAACAAATCCGCGGCAGCTCACAAGAGTGGGTGGTTCCACTTGCGTCTAAGCAAACATGCCATTTTTGTAGGCTCAGACGAACTTGAGGAGCGTGCAAAGTACCTCTCCGTACCAAAGTCCCGTGTGGCGATAAAGGCATAAACCTGATGTAGAAATGGAATAAAGTCGACCGTTTATTCTCGAAATTAAACTGTAGGTGCGATTCTCCATTTAAGACTGCAACTGTGTGTGAATAAACTTCACAGGGTATGTGGTGGCAGGAACCAACTTCAGTTCTAGGACCAACGCAATTTTGTCCGCCGCCAGCTGGTATCGGTCTGGTGCAGGATCTAGTTCGAGACCTTCTGCCCGCCCCGCACGACTGCGAGCACGGGCCCCAAGCGCTCCAGCCGGACCAACCGCCCTCCATAACACATTTTGTGTTCCCACATATTTCTAGCTGGTCGTGTTGTCCGCGGCAGTGCGTGCCCCACATCCCCGCAGGGCGTTGTTTGTAAACTTCGTTGCAAGTTCTTCGCCTTCGACGTATACCAGTCCCACATTTCTCGGAGCAAACCGTCCACGGGCCCCAGTCGCTCCACTGCCCGCCCGGTCTTACAAGAGGTTCGAATTCGTCAGTGGCGCATTGATCTCCTTGGCACTCCTCTGCTTGCAAGGGTTCTCCTGCGCAAAGGAGGAGGGCATCCGAAGGAGGAGGGTTGTCGCAGCGTCGGAGCCTCCACCGCAGACCTTCACCACACCTGGCACCGCAAGTAGACCAGGCGCCCCACGGTCCCCATTCCCCGAAGACCGGGCAGCCTAAATTGTGCTTAACGCACTGAAGAGAGTTCCACAGGGCTTCAGGATTGAGTTGCCATGTGTTATCTGTCGCCAAAGCTGCTTCTATGGCTTCAAAGGGACACTCCATTTGGAGGCATCGCTCCATCAAGGCTGGGACCGCTTCTAGCTGGCGTAGTGCTTGCATTCTGACTGCGTCACCTTCGGCTAGTTTTTTGAAGTCTTCGACGGTGCAGTTTGAGAGGTAGCAGGTTTCGGTTTGTTCGGCGAGGCCACTGCAGGGTGTGCCATCTCGTGAGGGAGGTGGATTGTTGCACAGTCGCGTTCTCCTCCGGTGGCCGACATCGTCGCAGGGCCCGTGGCAGGTGGACCAGGGGCCCCAGGGCGCCCACGCCCCATCGACGGGACATTCCGGGTCATTAACAACACCCAATTCACACTCAAGTCGCCATACAGCCTGCTGACGTTTACTGTACGGTTTTTTCGCTTGAACCACAGGCACAGGAGAATATACTATACTCATAAAAGTTAAACTTAACACGTACTTATACATACTGCCGCGTTTGTAAAGTATTGAGAATTCTGCAAAACATGGGTAAAACATAATTTCTAACCTCCTAACATTGCCTCATAATTCACAATTTATTAAACCTGACATATTTATATAGTTCCAAAATACTGGACTGTCCTGTCGATGACATTGACAGTGGGGCGCCACCGTCTATACCGGATCGCTGGTTCAGATTTTTGCCATGTTGGAAACCATATTATAGTTGAACGATGGTAGCGCCCCCCTGTCATTGAGTTTGGTGGGACAGTTCAGTGGGTCTAGACAAAGTGCAAATTATAATCGCAAACTAGTCGAAAAGTGGTCGAAAAGCCCCTTTTTTGTATGGAGTTTTGACGGATTCGATTATCGATTCGATCAAAAAGTGCGCTTTGTCTAGGGGGGCGGCGTGGGTCATTATGAGAATCAAGACGAGAATAGAGCAAAGAGCATAGATAATTTTGGCATTATAAAGGAGGAAGAACTCTATTTAGTATGTTTGTGATTGCTAAACTAATTTTGGCTATCTACATTAATATAACAATAATATTATGTAGTGTAATGTAGATATTAATGTAAAGTAAAAACAAAATCACTTTTAATAAAAATATATTTCATTAGGTACTTTCGCATTAGTTAAAATTTATTTGTATTTCGCAGCAGCGCAACTTACACTTCAAAAACATAAAATGTGCATTATTGCTTTGCGCCAACCAATCATAAAAACACTTGTTATTTGTCATTATCTTTTACAAAGATATAAATACTGTTAATAAATAAACATCTAAATACAACAACAGTCCAAAAATAGCGATAGTAAATATCGAATAACAACAGCCACACAACAATTATTGCCACAATTAATAAATAAGGACCCAGTTTTGGGGGTGGTTATAAGCCAAGAATATGGGACAGTGTAATATTAAAGAGTACGAGTTTTTGTCGAGTTGTTGTGATATTTGAAGCCATTTTTGTAGCCAATCCCTCATGTCATTATTTGATAAATGGCTGCCGTTCAGTCCTCTTATGTGACATGCATATCTTAAGGTCTCCATATTGAGCATGTCCACTCCCCCTTCCCTGATTATAGCTCTATCCATTTCCAGGAGAAGGAAAGCACGGTATTTCAGTTTATTCAGTCTAAATACACGCTTCTTAAGTCCATGCATTTGTAGTAGTTCACCCTGAAAAACAATTTGCGCATAATCAATAAACAACTATGACATACAAACATAAAATTACAAGTCATGCTTCTGAAGCAATAAAATGTTAAAAATAGCAAATGATAATAAATACTTAAGACACAGACAGTAAGAATTACTTAAAATGTAAGTTATTAATAATGTGTTGCACGAATTAAGCATAGCTGCTGCTCTAGCTCACACCCACTACAACACAAAACATTATTATATTTATAATGTTACACAGATGTGCAAGTCTATACAGTAGCATAAGGAATAGGAGTGATTTTACATGAAAATGTATAGTCTGACATTTATTAAATAAATGTAACCTACCATATGATGGTAGGTCAGGCCGTTCAAATGGTAAGGTTCCTTTGTGAACAATTCCTGGCAGGCCAACACGTCTTCCGGCATAGGATGGACCCCAGATCCAAGAAGAGCGACCACTTTTTGCCAGCGCCGTTTGAGATCCCCTTCAGGTATGGAATCCAGTTTGGCCTGCAATGCCCGGAATACTGGCCTATTGTGCTTGAGGCGGTCTGTCAAATCTTGAGTGGAAAAATCTAGGCGTTGTTGTATGGACCAGAAGTGAGAGCAGAGGAGAGATTTTGGCTTCAGGAACCTGGAATCATTTTATTGAATGATAAGTTTTAAATCAAGACAAACCGATTCAGTTTAAGAGACATGATGCAGACAAACAGTATGAGTAATGGTGCATTATGTAGAAAATAAAAATTATTATCAATGTAAGAATTTCTTTGAAGGTATTAACATTAAATTTTGTATGTCAAGTTATTGGTTTATGTCCATTGCTCATATTAATAAGTTGTAGAAATTTTATAATACAATGTGTATGTTCTGTGTAGCTTATTGACGTGTGTGTGTGTAGGTATGTAAGTGTTATTTTAAGAACAAATAAATAACACACTTACGCCAATGGGAATATGACGTAATTTCCGAAGGGGATTGCTGATAGTATCAGCACTGGGGCTATCCTCCACATATCTGAAGGCATTTTTTCATACAACTCAATCTCTTGCCGACTCATTTTAGAGAATCCCTGATCTCTGGTAATTTTAAACCTTAATGATATGTAAGTTTTTAAGTCTTTTAAAAAGTCCTTTATGCCCACACTGAACACTCTGTACATCCTCACAGCAGTAGGGAATCTAACCTCCAAAACTTTGGTATAATTCTTTACATAATCTATGTATCTCTGGACTACGAAAACACGTAACTTTTCTTTCTCTGTTTTTAAGGTTTTTGTGTGTTTAGATCGCTCCGCAGTTAAAAATCTGTAAATAGAAAACAAAATCGACGTCAAAAAACATAGTGACTCATCATACTATTTACTAGGATTGAATACTTGGCTACTTCTCGTGTTGTTTACTAGCTGATCTACGTATAATTTTAAAATAAATACTTGCCTGCATGTGTTGAGTTGATGGATATTTATTTTCATTACTGGTTTTGCACGATTACATTGTAAGAACATGCTAGAGAACGTAACTATTCTGTGAATAGGCATTTTGAGGTATTATAGTTAACTATAATATTTTTTAAACAAAATTATAACTTCTTATATATTACAAAATTAAGTAGGTAATAGATAGTGGCGAAATTAGAGATTTGAGTTCGTATTTTAGCACAGCAGGAGGAGGTCGGTCTGTCACTGTCAATGTCATCTGTTGACGGCTGGTTACACTACAAACAAACGTCAAATTGACAAATAGTGTTGTGTTTAAGAATTGAATGTTTGTGAAAGTTCAATTAGGATAATTATTGTAGTTCAATTGAGGCAATACGGCTAAAATACGAAAAGTGCTTCATGAGCTCTATCAACTGCTATCAATAATAACAAACAATAGGTTACAGAATAAACTGGATCTATTAAAAAAATCAATGGTTTCATATTCCATACAGTTTTTTCCAAACAGTTTTTCTTGTTAACTTGTGTCTTGTATAGCTTAGAAATAATCAAGGTGATATAATTATTTGATTGTTTGTAAAGATCTTTTATAATAAATAGCAAGCAGTTAACACACAATGTTGATGACCGTCCTCATAAAAATTCAGTTCTAATTAAATTACGTAAGATTAATAAAATTTATGTACTTAATCCGCATCGCCCTGCATAAATAATAAAAATTCATAAAAAAATATTTTATTTCAAATAAAGAGAAATATTAAATACGTTTACGGCAGAACGCCGATTATCCGAATTAATTGGGACCCGGGTCGATTCGGATAATCGGACATACTGGTAATAAAGAAAAACGAACTTTCACACATAGAACTTTATTGAATTTAACTGAGCGTTATTGTAGATTTGTTTACAGTTATACAATACGCTCAATTGAAATATATCTGGACTCCAGCGATTTCCAACTTGTTACAACAAAAGTTACTTGGTTTTATTTTTTTATAATAGGTAGCTACGCCTAGGACCGATTCAGACAATTGGCGATTCGGTTAATCGGCGTTTTACTGTACCTACTTTTGCGGTCTGTTCCATTTAGATACAATAATAAATAAGGTTTATAGTTTCGTTATTAGGTGACAATTATAATACGCATTGTGTCAATAGATGCGTTCTGCGGTTTGCGGTTAGGTCAATTATTACAATCCTTATTGAGGCAACACGCAATAAATATAAAATGTATTGAGATTGTCAATATTAATAATTCATACAATATGATGCCGGCTACGTTTACATTGACCTGAGCGCAGATTTCAGAACGCATCCAGGGTGGAAAATCGTTTAAAATTGACTGTTAATAAAATAATTATTAGTTGGGTGTTCTAATCGATTAATAACATTATTGAAATAGTTCAATTGTTAAAGTATTATTTGACGTCGAACATCCCTATTATTCTGAACTGACAGGTGATGTCAAACCATTGTTGCCAGTAGTATAAAAAGCTCAAAAAGTTGCCAAGCTACTTTGAAAAATTTCCGAAAAAGTTTTTAATAATAAAATAATTTTAAAGTAAGTAAATGTCAATGTGACAAATAGGTAATGAGCGAAATGGGACCGGAAAATAGAATTTCCTAAAATGGATTCTAATACTTCAAGGTTTGTGATTAATAAGATAATTACTATACCTACCTATAATTATTCGCAATTCGCAATGTATTATTAATTGCAGAACTATTTTATACCGGAACACTAAATGCTGTGAAGAATGTAAGGACTCAACTTCCGTGGATTTGAGGAAAATATGCCAGTCTGAATATAAATCTGCACCTACTTCTTATAGTCAGAAAACTCCGAAGACAAAGGAGCAAAGTTTAGTAACAGAGGTGAAAATTAATTTAGTAATTAATATTAATTTTCCTTTTATAAGTAAGTAGAGTTTAACTGTAGTTTGTATTTAGTCTCACATTAAAATTAAATAGATACTAAGTAAGTAGAAGCTCTACACAGGCTATCACCTGCCCCCCTAGACAAATTGCACTTTTTGATCGAATCGAAAATCGAATCCGTCAAAACTCCATACAAAAAAAGACCTTTCGACCACTTTTTGACTGGTCTGCGATTATAGTGCTCTTTGTCTAGACCCACTGGTGTATTTCGAAAACGCCGAGTCTCTTGGAAAATAAATGATAATTCAGTAGCTGTGTTTTTAGTTGTACTTTCGATGTTCAAAATCCTAATAAAATAGATTTATTTGCACATAAATACAATAAGTAGGCACCTACCTGAGTAAGTAATTTATGCTCATAATGGTGGAATCTGACTATCCAAGTGGGCGAATATTCACTCAAGTGGCTAAGTAGGGCTGAATGCTTGTTTGTTACATTGGTACATATTATTTACAATGCACAATGTGTTATATTTTTAGTACAAGGCTGTCTGGGCTCCTATTTGACTTTCGAAAAGTGCGATGTTTTTCACTAATAAATACGGTAAAATAGAATAGAAAAATATTAATTCAGTATCTTCTATCGTACAAAAGAAGTAACAGTTTTAGATTCTTACTCAAATAAAAATTGATAGGTTTCTTCCTTTCTTTCTTTACATCCTATAATCTCGCGACGTAATTTATAATGATTAGTGTAGGTAAGTATTAGGTAAGTCGTATTTAGATTATTTTATAACTTTCATAAAAAATATACTTAATTTTTTTAGGTCACATAGGTTTATATTGTTCTCTGTTACAGTGGTGGTATGTAAGATTGTAACTAATTGAAAAAAAAGTGTCAATATTATCTGATACTTAGCTATTTTACGATGTTTGTACTTTCATTTTGTGCAGAGATGTTTGCTAATAAATGCATGTGTTTAAATTGCTTTCGTTTCGTAATAGGTTTCTAGGTGTATTAGGTCATTAAGTAACCTCACTTTTAAAACAATTTTTGGAATTGGTTTCATATTTTCGTTCATGTTACAGGAACTGAAGAGAAGCAATGCAAAGAAAGTAGGCACTATTGTTTTGAGCGACTCTACCAAAACTCGGGCCAGGAGGGTAGAGCATACAGAAGAATGTTGGTACCGAAATTTATTTTTTATTTCAATTGTTTTCCAAATAAACATAATATTATCTCGTTAAATCAACGTTAAAAGCTACGCGAGTGCCTTCTACATTGTATAAAATTTTTACTTTAATCTCATGACTAGATAAAAGGCTTTTTCACTTACCTAGAGTGCTCACAATAATCTACTTTGTGCACAGTTGATGTTTATGATTTATTCATCGGATTTCTTATTTCTTTTGTCAATTTACATTAATGAGGACTTTTTAAAAAACGTGGATAATGTAGATAGGTTTTTATTAAAACCATTTCACGCTTAAACAGGTAGAGGTAGGCATTTTAGTTTTACTCTCATGCGAGTTTCTTGACAGACTAGAGAATAAATAAAAAGCTACTTGCATGAATTGATAGGTAATCCATTTTTTTTTCTGATAAAAATTGTGATCGTTCTCCCAGGTCCATACAGACGCAGATGTTACCAATGCCGGGACTTAGTTGTCAGAATTCGGAGTTTGCTAGATGAAATAAAAGCTATTAAAAAAAATAAAGCTGCCGGTGTGATTTGCGACTTCTGCGAAAGATTAACCCCTTCGGGGAAATGCAAACGATGCGAATTTCTAGCGGACAGATACAAAATAAGCGAAACTATAGATAACGATGCCAGGCAGCAGAGATTTAAAATATGGCTCTGCAAAGTGAAACAGTTTTTGTACACAATTCTGGAGAGGGAGACATGCAAACACAAAGTTTACCCGCAATCTCCAGCAACAGATGAGCTTACCCACCTGTTGCATGAGCTCAAGTCTCCATTAACAATACACGAGCCAGATATTGGCTATTTCCCATCTATAGACTCACTAGAAAATATAACTGAAAGCAAAGATATACTCGAACAAGTTCTCATGAGACTTAAATCCGATAAGAAATCTGAGGAATTTTATAATATGCAGAGTTCTTGCATTTGCAAATATTTCGCTGACAAAAAGTTCGAAGAAAAACAACCTTCGGAAGAAGAAAAAGAAATTTCTACTGAGAAAGTAGTTCCAAGGCCTACTCCCCAGGAGACAAAAGAAAATGTAAAGGTAAAAAAATCAAAGGAATCGAAAGAACCGCCTAAGAAACCGAAAGAAAAACCTCCAAAACAGGAAAAAGCACCTCCTCCCAAAGAAGAAAAGAAGCCAAAAGAGGCAAAGCCAAAGGAAGAAAAAAAAGTAACTAAGGCAGAGCCTAGGAAACCTAGTGTTGATGCTGAGGCAGATTTAATGGCGCAATTAATGAAGAAAGATACGACTCGAAGGGAAGTAGAGAAGCCGGCGAAAGCGGCACCTCCGCCTCCAATACCAAAAATAGAGGAACTACCAACTCCAGTTCGTAAGATTAAGGAGATAATCGAAACTGTGTCTGAAAGTATTGCAGAATGTGATATAGAGGATGGTGAAGTAACTGAAATGGTAAAAGGGAATAAAATTGTCCCCATTGAGCCCCGTAAAGGGTTAGATACTGGTTCTGTTCAGCCGCTGATGTTCAAAGTGCAGCCGGAATGTCCGAGCTTGCCTGGTCAACACGCTACTCCGAGTACAACCACACCTTCAGGGATTACAGAAAAAGGGAAAAAAGTAAAAGAAAAAGTTGAAGCTGTAAGGTTTTTTTCTTTGTTTTTCTTTTTATTTTGCGCTGAGATTTGGGGCTGAGTGACATTTTTTTTAGGAAGACAAGTCGGGCAAAGGCGTGATACGATACATGCTGTCGAATAGAGAATTCATTGAAAAAGGGTGGACACTATTACCAACCACAAAGATAATGCGACGGGTAAGTTTTAGTCCATCTTCATCGCAGACAAAAAAGTATGTAGGTACTTATAAATTTTCATGTGAAAAATTCCACAAAGCGACAAGCTTTCATCGATTAGGTGGAACCCGCGTTCTGCTTTTAGCGTTTTATTTGTGAAACGCAAACATAACAAATACCTTGTTCGTAAATAAGCCGTGTCCTAAATGTATCGTCTATGCAGATGAATATTTACAAGATGGTGCCTGCGAACCCCAAGTTCGACTGGTTCGACAGGCACAGGACGCAGAGACTGGTGTACTACGACACCGGCGAAAAGTTTGCCGAAATACAAGAGGACGGCAGCGGGAAGTGGTTCTATAAGAGCGGGATGCTGGCGTTAGATTATTATTGCGCTCAAGGTAACTTTTAGTAAGTTTAAAAGCCTGGCCGCAGACCACCGACTTTTAGTCGGCCGATTGTTGAGTCGGGCTGTTAATCAGTATGGAATTGGATGTTTAGGAGTGCGCCATTATGCCGATCAAAATTCTGTACCCCCAGTGAAAACGGAGTTAAGTCGAAAATGGTGATTTTTGGGAAATCGCATTTGAAGTTAAAAAAAATCCTGCTTCGTCGCTATTAGAGATAACTTGGTGAAATATTTTTTAGGTGAAAGGTAATGTTAGATATAATTAGGCAGTGTGCCAGTTTGTGAAATATAGCATGTAGTTTTTTCGTAATTAAATAAAAACCCAGTTATATCGCCATGCACGGCAATTTTACATTCGTGTAAAGTGATGTAATGGGACATAAATCATTTTACACCACACTGAATTGACCACCCGCTAACAAGTGTAAAGTGATACATTTTACGCCATTTCTGTTGATATTTTTTTGTTTCTTTAATTTTAGAAAAAGTTGTAAAACAAACATTAGTAATTACACTATGAGGAATCATTATTTCAGGTTATTTAGGGTAAATCGTCCAAAAATTGTGTGTGTGTGTGTGCATGTGTGTGTGTTATTATTATTAATCCTGACCTGTCATACCGTGACCTTTTACAACAATCCAGTGCAATATGATTGGTTAACCTATTGGAAAATGATTTTAAAACTTCCTCACAGTAAGTATTTATGGGATGACCTTAATATCACGTTCACCTTAGTTCCTCGTTTGCAATAATAATAATTTCTGTAATAATAATACCGCTAAAATGATAGAGAGCGGGCGGTGTTATTTATTCATCATGGCTAATTATTTCTGGTCAAGGTGGCGCAGTTACGTTGTGATCGATAAAGTCGGAGCCGTTTACTTCCATTATTGTCACTTTTGTATCACAGAAAGTGTTTGGAAACATAAAAAGGAAAACAATCTACTGACGTCTATTAGCTTCGACATAATTGTTGAACAAAAATACCCCTTTCCCAGCGATTCCATAGCGCTGTTAACATGCGAAAATGCACTGCCTGAAAGAAACACACAACCTAAGTATTCCGACTACATGACTAGCCGCGCTATGGAACCGCTGGGAAGGGGTATCTTTGTTCAACACTGATAAACATAGACTAATAAATTTACATTCGTTTTGTAGAATAGCTCAAATAACTACCTACTAATAATACAAATCATTAAAACATACTTTAACGACCTAGTTTTTCTTGTGTTGAAAAATAACTGAAAAAAGTCATGTTTTTTTCTATTTTTCTTGGCAATCAGCCAACTATAACTATCAAACTCGAAATGTAACAGGAATCGTCTTAGGTGAAAAAGACTATAACTTAGCTCTTGGTTGGCTTTACACTCGCATGTCGCAGGCCCGCACCACAAAATATAACAGAAGGTAAACTCATGTATGTACTTCGCTTCGCGAGCCTGCGCTCGGCCGTCGCGCTAGGGTTGTCTTGTCATGTGTTGCATTTATTTCGTTATGATAGAAAAAGTAACTCTTAATATACTATGGAAGAAAGACAATAACAGATATCCACATTATTCACGTATAATTATGTAGTTATGTTTAGTACGTTATAATAGTTATAATTTGCAAACAAATACACGAGAAGGAAGTAGTATGTAGTTGAGTGGTTGACACTATTATCCAATAATTCCTAAAACTTCTTTAAAACAATTCGATATTACTAATAATCGAGTTGGCTTTCAATTTGTCAACGATAAACGAACTATTTAAATACAAATAAATACCTTACTTACCTCCCGGAATCAACTGGTAGTTTAAAAAACGAAAATTTAGTTTTTAATGTTGAGTGTAGGTAAGCAACCGTCTACTTAACAAATGTTATAATACCCCTTTTTTGTTGTTCACTCATTTTCGCACAAACAAAATAATTTTACAAACGCGTGAGCAGCGTCACTCAAGCGAACGCAGTCGCGCCTCGCATTCGTCCAAGACAGTCTTGATAACGCGTACGTGAGCGGTGTCTATGTGTGCGTGGCTCGAGCGCGCTTAGTATGAAGTTTACCTTCTGTTATATTTTGTGTAAAAAATACATTAATTACGTAACTTGATTTTGCTAAAAGTCTGATCTGAGAAAAAATCAAATAGGTAAATTATACATTATTTCTTTATTAGTATGTATGATGTACTATCTTAGGTACGATACAACTACGGATTAAGATCGTTTAGTCGACGCAGCGTTGAAATTGTACAGATAAATGCAGTTTGCGCACTCACTACGCGACGTCAAGCAATAAAAACCTAAAATTCGAACGCCAACTTTTTGCTACAACGCTCTTAACCACAATTTAATAGTCCTGTGGTCGACTCGCTTTCCTCAAATTACAAATCACCTACACATAATTGTTTTGAATCAAATCTTTGGTGTGGTTTAGAGGCCCTTTGGCCACAAAATATAACAGAAGGTAAACTCATGTATGTACCTCGCTTTGCATACCTCTCTCGCTCGCACGCTCGGCCGTCGCGCTAGGGTTGTCTTGTCATGTGTTGCGTTTATTTCGTTATGATAGAAAAATGTAACTCTTTAACTATTACTATGCAAGAAAGACAATAACAGATATCCACGACGTAAGTATACCACGTATACTTATTTATATTTAGTACGTTATTATAGTAATAGTTTGCAAACAAATACACGAGAAGGAAGTAGTATTTAGTTGAGTGGTTGACACTATTATCCAACTAATATTATAAATGCGAAAGTTTGGATGTCTGGATGTTTGTTGCTCTTTCACGCGATCACTACTGAACGGATTTTGATGTAACTTTACAGTATTATTGTTTATAACCCTGAATAATATATAGGCTATAATTTATGACGATCTGTGACAAACTAAATTTCACGCGGGTGAAGCCGCGGGCAAAAGCTAGTTATCTAATAATTCCTAAAACCTCTCTATACAATTCGATATTCCTAATAATTGAGTTGGCTTTCAATTTCAATTGAAATTCAAATAAATAACTTACTTACCACCCCGAATCAACTGGTAATTTAAAAAATGAAAATTCGGCATTCAATGATGAGTTTAAGCAACCAAATACCGAACAATTAAAATACGACTTTTTCTGTTCACTCATTTTCGTCAATTGCGCAAAACAAAATAATATCACAGGCGGTTGACCGGCGCGTGACTCAAGCGAACCACAGGGAACGTGTGGCGAACGTCTGTCTGTCGCGCCACGTCGCGCTCGCATTCGTCCAAGACAGTCTTGCTCGAGCGGTGTCTGTCTATGTGTGCGTGGCTCGAGCGCGTTTAGTATGGAGTTTGTCTTCTGTTATATTTTGTGCTTTGGCTTTGGTTTATAGAGGACGCCTAATTTGGCTAAACCATTTTCTTTTTTGCAGACATCGACGAATGCGCAGACCCCGGAGCGTGCTCCCAAATGTGTATCAACGAAAAGGGCACATTTAAATGCGAGTGCCACGCAGGGTACGCCCGTGACCCCCGTGACAGAACCCGCTGCAAGGCCACCGAAGGCCACCCATCACTGCTCTTCGCCAGACGCTTCGATATCCGCAAGATCAGCTTGGACCACCACGAAATGGTTGCTATAGTCAACGACACAAAATCGGCGACCGCGCTTGATTACGTGTTCAGAACGGGGATGATCTTCTGGAGCGATGTCACGGATGAAAAGATTTACAAGTGAGTGCAATATTTTAAATAATTATTTAGTCAGAATATGTATTGCAATTCCGAGGCATCAAGAAACGCTTCTACGAAGGTGTGATGCTTGGGATTAGTGGAAATCTTGAAGTTTGTTTCCACGATGAACCGTTACGAAAATGTCATAAGTAATGTGCCATAAAAAATGGTTCTACCTAGACACAGAATACTATCAATATATTAATTAAAACATTCGTAGAATATTATAATGGATTGTACACATTTTGTATTTCTTTTTTATCAAAAAAAAAAAACTGTAAAAGAAAAAGAAGTTGAATAAATTCATTTATTTATTCATAATTTATTTACACATGTAAATACTTAAGTGCTTAACTGATGATAGGATGAGATCACTTACCTACCTAGACGTACGTACGTAAGACGTACTTCTTATCTTACTCACTGCAACGAAATTAAAAACCTTTACTTTTAGGGCGCCAATTGACGAAGGCACGCAACGAACGGTGGTCATCGGAGACCAGCTCATCACCTCCGATGGGTTGGCAGTGGACTGGATATACAACCACCTGTACTGGACTGACACCGGGAAGAACCACATCGAACTGTCGGACCTGCAAGGGAACATGAGAAAGATCCTGATCAGGGACAAACTGGAGGAGCCGAGGGCGATCGCGTTGAATCCGCTTGATGGGTAAGAATTCATGTACAGACAACAACATATTAAGCTTTATGGCACGGGTACACTATGCGCCTCAGCATTACGACTAGATACTTGTTGAAGATAACCCTAAGTCAAGTCGCATGTTTCCACTCTTGGACAACCTGGCAAGTAACTCAGTAGCTGGTAGCGCGGAGTTCGCTCGTGAAGAAGCTTGCCGGGTTCTTATCAAGTGTGTGTTCACATTGATGCGGCTTGGCAATTTCCCGCATAGTGTACCCGCATCATAACACAATGGGATCATATGTAGTTGCAATAGAGGCGAGCTTGCAACATAAATGTATAGTCTGATGTGCTGTCATCTGGACTTAAGACGAAGAGACTAAGCTAAATACTGCCACATCTTGTGAAGAAATGTCATGTACAGACGTCGGCATATCGGGCTATATCTTCAGAAATTGTATTAAAGGCTATTTTAAAACAAAACTGGAGTCCTCCAGCGACTCAGCCCATTTTTAGCTTGGTCCACAGGCTAAACTGCTGGATTGAATTTTTAAATATTTTTTCTTTCTGCAACTTGGCCCACTAAGATTCTAGAGTACATTTTTGTTGATTTAGTGTTTAATTTATTAATAAAAAAAAAGTGGGCCCAGTTGCTGGAGGAAAAAATATTTAAAAATTCAAACTGGCGAGTTGGTCCGTGGAAGCTAAAAGTGGACCAAGTCGCTGGAAGATTCCAAAACTGTAAAGTATGTTGTCTACTGTACTTTATACTCAATGAATAGGTAACCATAAAAACAATGCAAGGAAGTTGTAAGCTAGATGCATTGTCAATGTGATATAGTTCCAAAATACTGAACTGTCCTATGCATGACATTGACAGTGGGGCGCCACCGTCAATACCGGATCGCTGGTTCCGATATTTGCCATGTTGGAAACCATATAGTTGAACGATGGTAGCGCCCCCCTGTCATTGAGTTTGGTGGGACAGTTCAGCGTGGGTCATCTATACCTACTAATGACAATGATGCATTGTCACCAGTACCTACCTATGGTTTTCAATAATTATTTTTAACGCTGATATAATTATTGACGTAGACTTGTCTATTTTGACTTCTTGACTTATACAAATCAAGAAATCTAGACTTAAAAAGTTGTTAACAAATTCTTGTTAACATCTTTCTAAGTCTAGACTCATAATAAATACTACTAAAAATTGTTTAAGGAATACAATCAAGATTACCTAGTAAAATTACCTACCTGCTCGTTTGCCTCCTGTCACATAAAAAAACCTATCATTTCTAAAGAAGTTTAGGCTTTGAGCGCGTTTAAAAATGACATTAAATGTATGACGGATTGTACAGCGCCCCTAGCGGGAAACGTTCAATAACTAAAATTTCCATACATTTTTAAATGCGCTCACCAGTGAGCTCGTTTGATGTAAACTCGCACTCAGCCCACTGCAGCTAATGCCAGTAGTGTATATGATCACTTAGAGTCATTTAAAACAAACAGATCTTAAGCTTTTGCAACCCAAGTACGGATCGGAACGTTTCAAGCTTGAGATTACTGTATTTTTCCCCCTTTGGGATTCCCATCTTCACAGGATATGAGACAAAGTTAACAAACACAGAAATGACCGAGGCATCATTGTTTTTAAACAGACAGGAAATAAGTTACATCTCGTGTAAATGAAATGCTTGCACGTGCGTTTATTTGCGTAAATACTGAACAATAAGTATATTGTACACAATGACTTGCTTATTATTGTTTTTTGGGACGACACGTTATGTTAATGTGCAAATATCCTGAAAATCAGATATCGTAAACTTAAAAAGAAGACATCATAATGCTATGCAGACGCATATAGCAGACGAAAATTCTACCTACAAAAACTAATGATGATGACATAAACAACGAAATGACTATTGTTTCAAAATGATTAGAAAACAACATCATACACATACTTTACGATAGTATGAACATTATTATGATATTTTCAAATTATTATGAAAATGTATACGCAACATTTGCGTCATTAGAACCACTAACATAAGATTGTGCGAGAAAAATCTGAGAAATACTAAACTATCCATGTTTATATCGTAGCAATAATTCCGTAGAGTATTTAATTTGGAACTTTCGCGTTCGATTTTAATTAAAATAGAGAACCACTGGTCACGGCTTGACGTTTTGGCTGTATTGCTACAGCCGTGGTCAAAAGCAGCCCGACACTTCTTTGTCGCCTTGGTGGAAACCGAGCCTAACTCATATAAAATTGTCGCACAGAGACCCGAGTTTCTCTATTCTAATAATAATTTTATTTGATTTTCGCCTTACTAGTTTGCTTCTTCCTCAGATGGATGTACTGGACCGACTGGGGCCAGGTGCCGAAGATCGAGCGTGCCGGTATGGACGGCTCTCACAGGCAAACCATCGTGTCGTACGACGTGAAGTGGCCCAACGGACTCACGTTGGATCTCGTGCGAAAACGCGTATACTGGGTACGTTATATGACTGGATTCTGAAAAAAAGAGGTGGACTTAATCAACGCTAAAGGCCAGAGAACACGGCGAGCTGTTACTAATACCCGTTTTCACCATCAATCCCTAATTTTGTTTTTAAGTGACCCCTATGGTAACACATAACAGGAATATTGTTTTTAAAGGGGTCACTTAAAAATGAGGGATTGATGGTAAAACAGGCCTAAGACACCCTGCAGACTACAAACTTAGTCGGTCGATGTAATCGGCCAATTTGTATGAGGAATCGGCCGATACCATATCTATTCAATGTGCGCACTTCCATACATACATGTTCGGTTCATTTGACAGTGAACTGCCCGTTATCATACAGAGGACTTTTTTCTAAAAGTAATTTAGTTTGTAGTTGTACATACAACTCTTGGTCTGTCAAAAAACTACTCAGTTCACCTATTTGAGGTTCTTACTTATCAGCCAAAAAACCCCAAAACAACTCGTGTAAAAATATTAAAAATGTAAGAAGTAGGTACCTACATCAATGTTATCCACGCCATATTATCTCAACAAACCAAGATAGCGTGATTGATATTAGCTTAATTTGGTATTAATTAAAATACCCGAGGAAGTAATCGTCTTATCTTGTGTCTTCTATCGAAAACTTTCGACTATAATACGGCATGATGGATATTATATCAGACACGTAAAACAATTAGCTGATACCGCACGGTACATTCCGTATCCTTGGAATTTTACTACAACTTGTGCGCAGATGGTTTGTTTACATTTTTTTTATGATAGTAAACAAGCTCGTGACAAACCAGCTTTGGCAGAGAAAAAACGTCTTTATGGCCTACCATAAGTACCAATACTTGTTACATACGTCAGTAGTTATTGACTATTGAAAAGGCGGTAGTTCATCACGGTCATGGACGTCTTTAACTGATAAATTAGTAAAGACGTCCGTTGTACAGTCGCGGAATGAAAAGGTTCGTCACCTTAGTGTCGGTTTTCGCTTGCACTAGGTACTGTAAGAGTCAAACCTGCCAACATTACAGTGCAAGAAACAGTGCTGCTAACATTTAAATAAATATGACGTTTGCTAACGAAATAAGGTTTTGCTTGTTTATTTTTCTATCCCATCAGTGCAATGCAATGATGACATTGACCAATTGACAATAGTTTTTTTTATTTTATAAGAAATAATAATGGCAGGTTGAACCAACAAGAAGGTTTTAGTTTATCAATCATAATAATCTTCTTGACAAGATAAATCGTCAAACAACTTTGATCTGAATAATTTTGAACTTTACTGACGAACAGTTAAAGATTATTATCTCTAACTCGAGATTATTCTGTAACATACTTTCAAAAGGTAATATGTGCTCGCGATTCGTTGAAGGAATCAATTTGAAAACTGACGAACCTTTTCATTCCGTGACTGTACATATAAAAAACTAAGTAACATTAAGGCTGAGTTGCACCACCTAACTTTGACCGTAACTATTAAGTTATACGGTGCTTTTTGTATGGAATTTGGCAGATTTTTGACGTTTGTTAAAGTCAAAGTAAGATGGTGTAACACAGCCTTAGTCCTTCAAAAACAATACACGATCTCGACACAAGAGTTATCAATTAATGCAAATAAATGCAAGTAATTAATGCAGTCTCCTGAGACTAGGTGTCTAGGAGATGGTTTATTTACATATTAGGTACTTATTACAGACAGAGGATAAGTAATGACAGACAGCTTGTGATACAAGAATGTCAATGATCTACATTATGTATTATTATAATAAATTCTTAACGATAAGTATAATATGTAGATATTTTACTCAACAAATGGCAACACACAAGCCGTGTAAAGCCAACAACCGGAAAAAAAATGTAGATACTTAAAATTTATAAATAAGGAAGATTATGAATTTTCATTTTCATTACTATTCATCAACGGAACCCCGTGGAAATCTATGATAGATTATGACGACGAGTACCTATGACTCTTTTGTTTTTATGGTTTTACCAGTTAGATCGCACATCGACTATGACGCAACCTGCAATCAAAGGGGGCGTAAAGTATAGAAACTATACCTATAAAACATACGCAATTCCTAAGTAAAAATAAACCCGATTTCCGGGGTTATTCACTAATTTTATCACAAGAAAACAAATTGTTTTGTTAAAATTAGGTCACCGTAACTCACACGCGTCAATCTCAGTTCATCATAAAATACAAGTTTAACTGATCTGTCCCAAGGTTGTAAATTGCGTACATATTTTGACATTAATGTATAATAAATCATCCATTGCTTCCTCTTAGGTGGATGCCAAAATGAACACAATATCATCGTGCAACTACGACGGGGCAGCGAGGCGGGTTATTCTGTATTCGACAGATGTGCTTCGCCACCCCTTCTCTATTACCACATTTGAAGATTGGGTGTACTGGACTGACTGGGACAAGACCGCCGTGTACCGAGCCAACAAGTTCAACGGGAAAGATGTGGAGGCAATCACTTCTACTCACACGGTAAGCTAAATGGTTAAGTTATTTAGAGATAAATACGAGAAGGTTCTTTGGCACCGAAAAATATTAAATAAAAAAATATCTACAGGGTGGAAACGATAAGTGCTCTCATTCGATTATTTCTAAACTATACAAGATATCAAAAAATTGATTACTAATCCTGAAAGTACTTCACAATCTCTATCCAACGGTACCAATATTAGGTTACAAAATTAACTGGATCTATCCGAAAATTTAATGTTTTCAGTCTCCATACTAAATGTATGCCAGCCAAACAATATTAGAAGTATTAGCTAATTTTTTTTTATTTTATAATACACACTTAAAATTAACTCGTAAATTGGATTTTTATTTAAAATTATTCTTGGGAAACATTGGTTTTTAGGCTTTACTTGCTATAATATTAACAAGACATGAGTGCCATGACTGTGGCTGTACTAAATGTATAGTAGTTTCCAACTTCCAACATTGAATTTTCGAATGAATCCAGTTTATTTTGTAACCTATTATTGGTACCGTTGGATAGAGCTCGTGAAGCACTTTCAGAATCACTAATCAGTTTTTCGATATCTTGTATAGTTTAGAAATAATGGAGTGAGATCACTTAACGTTTCCACCCTGTATAAAAGCCAAAGGTAACTGACTGACTGACTCACCACGAAATCTCAGAAACTACAAGTGCAGAGTCTCAAATTTTGCATGGGGGTTCTTTTTAGAACGTAGATGCTTACTAAGACGGGATTATTCAAAATTCAACCCCTAAGGGGAGAAAACGTGGTCCACGCGTACGAAGTCCCGGCAGCCACTAGTTATAAATAAACATGAAAAGCAATAGTGGTTATGTAACTCTTGGATATTTCTAAAACAAATGCAAAACAGGTATTAATTATCAGGCTAATAAACCTTCGCCATCACCTTGTAGTGACCAGGTGAGGGTCACCGGGGCAACATACTATCAAAATACCGTTTTAGAGCTTTATGCTCTTAAGTATGTATTTTTCTTTCTGATCTTATAATTTATGATGCTGAAAAACATTCAAATGACCCTAGTAATTTCAGGAAACGTAGTTTGGCTCCTGAGCAGGGAGATGTTATTATTGATAAGACAGACGAAAAGTACACTGGGACTATGACACTGAGAAAGAGAAACAAGCTTGTGTTGCCAGATAGTAAATTAGAATTACATGGATCGGGACCATACTCCATGGCAATAAGGCTATATAATACCCTTCCTAAATATTTAAGACAGATAGATAATTATGATAAATTTGTGGCGTCCTTAAATGTTTTTCTATGTGATAAGTGTTTTTACAAAATTGATGAATATTATACTAGGCTGCAATAAATTTAAAATTAAATAAATATATTATTAAATGAAATATAATTAAATAACATAATTAATAATTGTTACTACTGATCTAAAATTGTAACTTCTTCTTTTATTTTGTAAAATGTATACTTAATGCTTGCTATGCCCTTGCAGGGTGCATGTGATGCGCTGCCCTACCATTCACCAACTATCAAACCACATGTAATGCAATGCAATAAATGATTTGATTTGATTTGATTTGACTACAAATGTAGAAGCTTTGATTGCCGAAGACAAATATCGCCTCGTCAAGCTTTGCTTAGTTTGGAATTGGATATCAGTCTGATTTATGATAAGTATTTATTAGGATAGATTTTCTGAAAATTACCAGATAAAATACTTGATAATTTATGTTAACGTAGTACCTATTTCCTTCGGCAGTGCGTCCACTAAAATTGGAACTATTTATTTATTTATATTTTTTCTTGACAGCTCCAAAACCCGATGGTCATCCACGTGTACCACCCGTACCGTCAACCGGACGGTGTTAACCACTGCGCAGCCGTCAACGGGCACTGCTCGCATCTCTGCCTTCCCGCCCCCAGGATAGGCCCGCACTCGCCTAAAGTCTCCTGCGCATGCCCCAACGGCCTCAGGCTGTTACCCGACAACCAGATGTGCGCCGAAGACAGTAAGTACAATTTTCATTGGCATAATTTGAAAGTACTACTTTTTTCTGCTGTAGGGAGTTGATGAGACCAAATGTCAATGTCTTATGTCAAACGACGTCTCTTCCTTGACGTAATTTTGACAAGACAATGAAAATCGAAAATCATACAAAGATACATCAAAGCAGGAAAAGTCATGTAGTTATCCTACTTCTTTATTAATATTAATTTGTATAATTTTATTTCATTGAACTTGCTAGTGTATTCAACCATGATGACGTCAAGTCAAATTACGTTTAATCTGAAAAATCGTTTTGCAGGTTTTGCGCTATCTCTAAAATTGTTTGAGGGCTATTTTTATCTGTAGTAATTAAAAAATACCGTTTATCTTCTGTCAAAAATTGTCAAATAACATCAATAGTCCGGGGTGTGTACTATCTTTAAAGTGGCAAAGGATGAAGTGAATCTGTATTACTACATTAGGTTCGTTGGTTGGATTAAAGTCAAGTGGAAAATTTGCAAGAAATTATATATTACTACTATGATTTATGTCCCATGAAAATATCATTGGGGCCATAAAGGTACTAGAACGTCTAAAAATATCAAATGAAGCGAAAAAAAGCATGCAAAACAATTTGCTACAACGAGTCGATTGAACAAAGTGATTGGGGCTATGCGTAGCAATTCATTAGTATGGTGTTGACATAAGGAATTCATTTACGTCAAAATTTTAATACGCCAGTGAAACAAAACAATAACTTTTAAGGCGTATATTTTGTAACTGAAAAAAATTGAAAACAGTTTATTTGCGAGAAAAACATCAAGTACTCTTGCGAACTGTGTGCATTTAACCCTATGAATCGTGTAAAATGTTAATCTTTGTTTAAAACTTAATTACGTAGGAAAAAGCTAGTAAACGTTGTAGGGGACGTAAACAAATTATAAATGTTTTCTTAAAAAGAGCATAACAAAATTAGGAACCTAGGTACTTAAGATACAAGAGCTTTATTTGTTTGCATGACCACATGCATCTGCATGATTGAGACTATTGAGAGACTGTAATGGGGCTCAATTTAAGAAAATTCGCAAACTGCGCATTAATGGAAATCAAATTGTGTAAACGGATGATATGCGTCATTATGTTCGATGTTTGTTCAGAGCTGGCACGTACAGTCAGCGTCAAAAATAGTTCGTGACAACCAAAGTAGCCAAAAAGTTGACAACACACCCTTATGCCAATAGTAACAAAGACGTGATGCGAACTTTTTGGCTACATAATAAGTCACGAAATTTTTTGACGCTAACTGTACCTATGACTACGGTGCATGAAGTCATGGTCCGAAACTCCGAATGTTACTCAGAGATTTGGTAGGTTGGTTCCATTTTTTGTTACTTTCCGCGCAGTCGGGACAGGTGGTTAAAATTTTGATCTGGATGTCCAGTACATAGGTATTAATCATACTTTGTTGATGGTCTGTTGGTATACATGTTGATTAATAGTAGGTAAGTAGGTACAGTATATTCACAAAACAAAATTAAACATGAGTGATGGAATTCTCATCGTTACACACAAAATAATTCCATTATTTACCGAGAGCACACAAAAACTATACTTATTTTTCTAAAGAACTTGACGATCACAACACAGCAAACAATTAATAGTTTCCTTCCAACTTCCTTATTTAATCTTACAATATTATTTTATGAATAAGTCAATGAGTTAGGCAAATATTTTTATAACAAACCATTGAATGTACAATAATATGAACTACCCAACGTGGGACCAAGAAAGGAATGGAAAAATCTTTCATACAAAGTTGTATAGGTCGTGCAACGAGAGTTGAGGCCAACACAAGCAAAGATTTTGTGCTGTTCTACGCTGCACTTGCGTTTTTGGACTGACGTGCTTTCCGTCTCATTTGCAGACATTTAAGATCTATTGGCTCTGTGCACGATTACAGCGCCAACTAGCGTCCACAACTTTGTGGGCTCTGTCATATTGACATTTAGGTCGTTTATTTGTGAAAAAATATCGAAATGAAAAAATAACAAATATTTTCGACTAATAAATTGTTGTGATACCACGATTTGGGTTGAAAAAAGGTTTTGAAATCATTTTGGTCATTCAAATCAAATGAGGTAAGTCCGAAAAGTGTGTTTAATTTTGATTGTGTCAGGGTTTGTTTACTTCATTTATAGTTGTAGTTTTACAGTAAAACAAAAAGAAAAAGCTACTTTAACGGTTTCATTATACAGGGTGTTTCTTGTAAGGTGTCAAGCCGAAGGCAGGTGATAGGTGAGGACTAGACCTATCGATTTCACCCCCATGTATGTTCTACGATTTTTCGTAGTTTAGAAGTTATCGTTAATTTTGTGATTTTTTCAAATTTTATGACCTAGTAAGCATTAAATTTTTTTATCTTTTTTTTGGGTTGACTTTTCTGAGATTTCTTTTTTTTGACAGATTCCCTATTAATTGCAGATGTTTGAAAAAAATAATCACCTTCCTATTTTTGATGCAAGATACAAAATTTTTGCTAGAAACATAAAAAATATGCTTTTAGCAGAACGTTCTAAAATTTTCTACTTAAAAGTTTGAAAAAAAAAAGAACTTCCAAAGGTCCAAAATAATTTTAAAAACTGCGCAGTTTTATGAACTTTCATAATAACATAAAAAAACATGTACTTAATAGGCCATTATTTTCTGTAATCGCTCCACTAAAGTGGTAAGTCGGAGATTTCGTTACATGTTTTTGACTTTCTTAGAACTAACTAATGTTTGCAATCCCCTAAGTTTACGTACTGTAGAACACATTTAGAGACAATAACTGAAAAGAACATTTTTTTATCCACAACGAGGAAGCTCTTGCCCTTCATCTGGTATACAACAGGGAATATGAAAATATTGATGAACTGCGGACAAAGCTGACTGAAACACAAAACCACATTACAATGCAAGAAGAAGCTTTTGTACACACACACACACACACACACACACACACACACACAAACTCTTTCCCTTTCTCTCACACTCTAATAGGTAGGTATATCAAATTTAATCGTAAAGTAACAATCACTACTGTGGTCTAGTGGTAAGACCACCTATTTAGGACAGCCAATTCCTCTGTGGTTCAGGATTCCGGGTGAAGTTCGCTGATCATCCATCAGTTTCCATCAGGTCAGATGAAGGGCAAGAGCTTGCTCGTTGTGGATAAAAAAATGTTCTGTTCAGTTATTGCAAACATTAATTAGTCCTAAGAAAGTCAAAAACATGTAACGGAATCTCCGACTTACCACTTTAGTGGAGCGATCACAGAAAATAATGGCCTATTAAGTACATGTTTTTTTGTATTATTATGAAAGTTCAGAAAACTGCGCAGTTTTTTAAATTATTTTGGACCTTTGGAAGTTCATTTTTTTTTCAAACTTTCAAGTAGAAAATTTTAGAACGTTCTGCTAAAAGCATATTTTTTATGTTTCTAGCAAAAATTTTGTATCTTGCTTCAAAGATAGGATGATGATGATTTTTTCCAAACATCTGCAATTAATAGGGAATCTGTCAAAAAAAAGAAATCTGAGAAAAGTCAACCCAAAAAAAAGATAAAAAAATTTAAAGCCTACTAGGTCATAAAATTTGAAAAACTCACAAAATTAACGATAACTTCTAAACTACGAAAAATCGCAGAACATACATGGGGGTGAAATCGATAGGTCTAGTCCTCACCTATCACCTGCCTTCGGCTTGACACCTTACAAGAAACACCCTGTATAACAGTAAATATATTTAAATGTTCCTGTATCGCTAGTAATAAATTAAATATCGTTTTCAGATCGATATGAGTATTGTTTTGAAGACAGGGTTTGTGACTGTTACAATATCAAATTCCAACCACAAACCGTATTTAAAGGAAAGTTGTTGATATTGGCTGGACAAGTCCGAGATGTAGAAGAATTAAGAACAAAACAAGGGCAGAGTTTAATAATTCACGCTCTCATCATAAGGCAAACATCTGTGCACAACAACTACTGTGACTCATTTTTGTACTACCACGTTGTATAGTCTAGTTATTTCCAAATTGTAAACGGCTATTAAACCAGCCCTATCGAAATACAGTCCACTCTTTTATTTAAGTTCCCAGTAGGACCCTTTTCATGCGATTAATTAATGATATTAAAATGTATTATGTAGAATCGCTTTGCCATTGACAGATACATCTGATAACAGAGCTTACATTATTTCTACTTTTGACCACCATGAGCGCTGCGATAGATCATGTTACCACCACCTAGTACTTCGCACCCAGCGAATAGGTGTATTTGACTTGAATGTTGTTTGTTTTGTATTCAAAATATTATCTACATCAGAGTAAATAGGTACGTGTTCGCCTCAACTTTCCTTGAGCAACCTATACCTATTTAATAGAAGTGACATTCCGGGTACAAAGATATTCAATCTTAAGGAGGATGGGCATCTTGTTATGCCCATTCAACCTCTGATTGGAATACAATTGATTGCAGTCAATAAAAAAGACGTTTATTGTCATCGTAAAATGATTGATTGACTGACGACCTTACCAATTGAACTGCCTCGAAGGGAATCTTAAAGCCAGAATGGCCGCCTTTTAACTAATTCCTATCAAATCGACTTCAAGGTGACACCACGAAGCTAAATGAATTTTAATAGGGACATACTACATATTAGGTTATCTTGAATTTATTAAACTTTGAATAATTTTACATTATCTATGTTTTAGACGGATTTTAAAGCGGAAATTGGTTAGTTTAATAATAAAATAGGTATATGATTTGAAATATGTTGATTGTAAAGAGGAAATTATAGGTAGTCAATACTTCATTAAATATTTTCCTGTTACGAAACACAACCATAACTGAATATTATTTTATCTCATCATCATATAGTCCAGTAGAATTAGCTTTTAAATAGGAAATAATTCCTACAAAAGATTTTATTGTTTTAATGGCTTCATTGGTTGCCCATTAAGACTCTCCTAAGTTTTCGACTTCGACGGAGTTGTGCTTAAGTGGTGGGGGCCCCCGAAAGAGGCATTTTTTCGGTTTTCCGGTTATACCGCGTAAAGGACTTACCCTATCAAAAAGTGGTCTTCATGACGGTTGAAGGGCACTTAATCCTGCATTGAATAAGACCAAATTCATATGTTTTGGACAAACCGTTCTCGCGCTAAAGTTCGGCAAAGTAGAAAATATACGTATAATTAAAGACCTTCTCCACGTCCAATGGTTTGTTACCCACAGGCTTCCAAGTCTTAAGGCTTGGAAGCATGTGGGTAACAAGCCATTGGACGTGGAGAGGGTCATTAATTATACGTATATTTTCTACTTTGCCGAACTTTAGCGCGAGAACGGTTTGTCCAAAACATATTATGAATTTGATCTTATTCAATGCAGGATTAAGTGCCCTTTAACCGTCATGAAGACCACTTTTCGATAGGGTAAGTCCTTTACCGAAAAAACGCCCCTTTCGGGGGCCCCCACCACTTAAGCACAACTCCGTCGAAGTCGAAAACTTAGGAGAGTCTTAATGGGCAACCAATGAAGCCATTAAAGCAAAAAAATCTTTTGTAGGAATTATTTCCGATTTAATCAATTTTTGTGTTTAATTCTACTGGCCTAATAACTTCTCACAGTATCTATAAGCTAGCGTGTATAAAAACCGTAAAAATTCAACTAAGTATAAAGAAAGTTTTAAAAAACTAGAAATTCTATGTAAACCACTGTTAATAAGTAACAGTAAAATTAACTATCTCAACATATCACATAAGAAGCGAAAAACGGATTTGTAATTTTAAAAAATGTTATGAGAAGTTTGATGAAAAACAAATACAAAAGCATGCTCATAAAAATTGCTTATTTCGTTATTCTAAGCCCCAAACGGTCCGGCTTTTGCAGTCTCGGGCAGAATCCACTAAGCCATGTGGTGGTCAAAAATTAACGTTGACCTTAGTTTTGTATTTGTACTTTGTGCTCACTAGCTTTTTTGAAAGATCTATTATGGCAATTTACGTCACAAAACAAAGACGCACGCACTTTTTACTATGGGTACCTTTAATTAACTAAAAAAATATGACAAGAATATATGACAAGAATAGAACATAGGTACATGGAACAAGTTAATTTGAATTCGACACACGATATGAAGGACGGTTAGAAATCCGTATTGGGAGATGTGAAAGGCTCGTATGAGCCTTACCTATGCTGTTTCCATATAGGATACTCCGCGCCAATAGATTTTGTCAGACGACAAACACTGGGCAATTTTTATTTAGTTGTCATTAGTGCGATTTTGCAACAGTCAGTGCCGTCGCTGTACATAAGATGATCAAAAACTGAAGAAAAAAAAGACAAGTGTGTCACTGCCATAGTACAGTGCCACTATCTTACTCAACATTATTTAACTTTGCCAAAGGTTAACTTATACTATTACAAGGGTCATAGAAATTAGGGAAGTTTCGGTTCGAATATAGAAACTTCAGTGACCATATTTGATGTTGTTCGGCTTTGCTTGCAAGATTGCCGAAGTTTATTGGCGCGGACTATAGAAAACCCAGTCCAACAGAACAGGTGCAACGACACATTAGTACTTAGTAACCTACAATTAAGTGTTTCCTTCGATGCGCTTACGCAGTCATTAGTCTCGTGGAATAGTAGCGGAACGCACATTCCATTGTTGTTTATTTTCCTTTAGTAACGTCACTTAAGGCAAGTACGGACGACAAGGATGCCCCTTATTCAGTTGAAATATGTATGTGCGATTTTTTAACAAAAAATATGTAGACACAACAAGTACTGAGATGTCTTGATAATTTTTAATTATGTAGATTATGAATATTCAAAAGTGCATAATATTTTTGCACCTTTAAATAATATTATATAGAGGTGCAAAAATATTTTTAACAACATACAAATTAATTACATCATCCACCTAACTCGGGCTTCCAAAACATTTTTAATGAAATTCGCAATCGAGACGCCGAGTAATCGACCACGTCAGCTGATGACGTTACATCGTACGATGTTTCGTGGCGATGACTGCGCGTGCGATTCCAACCTTGAACATGTTTTATGCCGCGATAGGAATATACCACGCCCCTCCACCTTATCTCTTTTGGCCATTGAAATTAATAGTAAGTAGTAATTAGTCATTCACAATCACAATTATTGTTTTATAGGCGTTATCGGCAACAATAATGTTATGTAGACATTTCTTCGTTTGTCGGCAATTTATCAGACTATTCCGACTATTTATCTGGTCACGCAATTTAATCACTTTAATAAATCGGTCAGGGATTTTTTATGCTTTCAATTAGGCAGTGTCCATCTTAATGAACGCCCTTGTCTCTACGGTAGAAATGTGCATGCAATGCAAAGTGGTCTTTATTATGTACGAAATGTACTTATGGTGAAAGAGATAGCAATGAAATATCGGAATGTTACTCGTGCATTGACAAGTCTAGCCCCACTGCAAACGGTTGGCGAATAAGGTGGGTGACGTCACAACATCACGCCACCTTTTGTTAGTCAATCTAAACGCGATCCGGCACGACGCTCACGCATGCTCTTACCGAAACGTGTCCACGAAATACCTGAGTACGTCAACGACAACTTTTTAATTTCTAGAAATTTCTTATTCATTTTATGCGTAAACGAACGTGAAAACAACATGTTTGTGGTTTATGACAACGTTTCTACGTTTTACATTATGATTTTGTTTTCAATTTTACTGATGAGTAGATTACTTTAAAACGTCATTAAAGTAATTTTAGCGTTAATGACATTATAGCAAATAAAGTATTTGCAAATTAACTATAAAACGAGCAAGTTTTCAGTGTCAGAATGTGAAAGTAAAACCGTTGTCATACCGCGCCATTGGAAACGTACACAGAAACCATTTCGTGAGCCGGATCGCAACCAGTTAATTTGACGGGCCGAAGCCGTGGTGGGACGTCAATGGCGCGCGAGCCGCTTTTCGGTTGCGGCGACCTGCCTCAGTTATTCCGTGTTGTAACTTGGCGCGGGCCGTATGTCAGCTGCCGCTCTGTAAATAGTATTTATTCCTAAATTAAAAAAACAACTGACACACACACAACACGGAGGAAAACATTCTACAATTATTTTGCTAAGGCTGTTTTATAATAAATCTACAGATGCAATAGAACAAGATGTGGAGGTGCAAAAGCAGAAAATTCGTACAAACGAAAGTATTGTAGATCAAGAAAATTCTGTAACCACCAGTGAGTATTTGTGATTTTGTGAAGTTTTTGTCAAATCAGTTCCTGTCTAATTTACCCGGCTTTTTGGATTGGTTAAGTTTGTGGCGTTTGAGGTTAGATTCCTCTGTAAATGAAAGTGAATGTGATAAAGTGATCTTGAGTTGGTAACAAACAATTTTTTAAGAATTTGGTGTAATTATTGGAAATAATGATTCGCAAATGCCACGAATTTGACCGAAATGCTTTACGGTTGAGGTTCTGTCATCATCACATCGATAAGATAAGGGATCATCTATATAATCGGGTTGCGACCGCATATGTCATGACTAACCAACAGTTTGCCAATCACTAAACAACCATCGTGTATGTTTTAAAGTATCTGTGTGTCTTCATCTTGGGATTCATTGATGATTTGCAGGGCATGACAAACTCCTTATTTACAATCCGGTGAATAACATAGTCGCGTGCGAATGATTAAGCGAAGGTGTAAAGACATATGGTGGATACAAGAAGAGAAAGGCTTTTACGCCTTCTCTTTAAATTCGGCCAAGCCGTATTTAAGAGTGAAGACAAGACTGACAACCCCGAGAAGATTGGAGAACGAGACTCGACTGCCAAAAGAGAATCGGAACCAATGATGCTGTATTGGGAGAAGGATAAAGAAGAATCATCAAACCACAATCAAGCGTACATAGATCTGTATCAAAAGGGCATTGCTCTGGAAAGGATACCAGACTCAGTCGACGGGTCCTTTACAGAATCTCATTATAAATACGACAAAACACTATCCTACTTGCCAGAAATCGTCAATACTTTAAATGAGGGTAAAGTATTAATTTTTAAATAAAATAATAATAACAAGCAATTTTTTTCTGTAGAATTTCGGAAGACACACAGATTCGCATAGAACTGGGTGCATGTGACATTAACTAACAAATATTTGTGAATGCTAAGTGATGTTCTAATTTTATGTGATTAACAATAAAAACCATTTGTCAATATCAATAGAATTGTCAATAATGATTGCATTGAAATATTTCCTTGTACTGTTGATTTTTCAATTTGTACTAGCCAATTCGCACGTTCGTATGAATTTATCGGTATAGCAAATCACTATTATTGTGATGTTTTGAATAGCTTTTCACGTGTCGTTAGCACGTACAATAGCAGATTTATCTGGACTTACATCCTTCCTGTCAGTCCTGAATTTAATAAACCCAGGCTATGTCATTATTTTTCCTCTATGTAGTGATTCAGCGTTACGTTGTATTGTCAATAGTAAAAACAATAGTATTTTTTTCTAGTAATTATCATATTACTACTTATGTCAGTCACTAATTGAAATTTAATATTACGGCAATGGTAATGTTGTAACATGGAAGTAGGTTAAAAAGATATTCTAGATAATCAGTATTAGTTGGCACGTTTCATTGCCATTCTGCAAATAGAACAACCAGTTCAGTCCAGTTACAACGCCCACCAAATTTTAACCGGCTGATTTTGACTGCCATATTCTATTGTCATAGATTTATACAATTGGGAAGTACGCCCGACCTATTGTTAACACGGTGACAACGGATCTACCGAAACTTCTAGATATCTTTGATTGAAATTTTTTTAGTTAACGACATTGACGTCATTACAATGCTGTCAATACCACTGTAAATTTACCAACCGTCACAAAAGTTGACGAGTTATTATTAATTTACGTGTCGTTAAACTCAAAAGATATTTTCGTAATTTCGGTTTAGGACGAACTCATTTCACACTAACTCTTCGTCTACCGCTGAATGTAAGGTGGTGGTTTCTTCGTACAATAACGTCAACAACGCCTGTTGTGCTAATACGCCTTTGTTTGTCTTTTTGTCCCACGCTGCAACACAATTGTCAATTTTAAACAACAGTACAGCTAGCCCTTTGAAAGGCACTTTAAAAGGTCAGATACATAAAAAGGCAGTTGTGTTGTTGCTATGGAATATGAATTATGTAATAACGTTGTGTTTTTTTACTTTCTAGGTGTTCCCGAATCGCCCAAGATTGGTACCGGAATCTCAAGCAGTGGCCGCGATGCAGGCTATGTAGCGGGCATTGTGGTGGCAGTTATTTCTGGAGTCATCATATTGGCAGCACTGGTATGTATTCTTTTGCAATCTAACCTTTTTGGTCTAATGCTTATCACGTCAATTAGGAACACACTTATCAGATCAATCACACCTTTTAAGGGACAGGTTAGCAAACAGTTTATTCTGAAGACCTTGCTAATAGGTTGAAAACCAATGGAATTTTTCCCGGATTTACGATTACCAACTTTTCGTAATGTAACGCCACGTGTTCAGTATTTTTTCCCAATCTGTTCCTCTTAAATTCCAGTCTTGTACTTATTTAGATTTTAGCGCAGAAGTACATAATAACCTAGTTGTTTTGTTCGGATAACTAGGCATACAGCTTTAGCTTCAGAGCACATTTAGATACCGAAAACAGTACCCACTGTCATAATAATTGAGGAGTGTCTTTTCAAAAGGGAATACCTACATTCTATCTTATTTTTCACAAAATGGGAAAAACTTATATGGGAAATATTTACAGACCTACCGAAAAGCATTATTTCTGTTATGAAACTATTTCATTACAGTGTTATAACTACACTTTTTGTCAAAAAATATGACTTATTAATTTAAAGTTACAGAGTTCAGAAAAATCATAATATCCTCTTTTGACACGGATCTTTTATAATATCCCCCTTTGTTCTGTACTTAGAGACCGAGGGCATTTGAAACAATTTTGACAATTTGTTTCATACACAAAACGCTGTAGGCAGAATTCATATGATATTAGTACCAATCGATAGGTAATTCTATACACTTGCGAATAATTAACTTAGAGAAATTGTAAATGATAAATATTGCGGTGAAAAATCGACTTCTCCGTAACAAGTCAATTTGTTTCAACTCCCCTCACACCGAGGTAAGATGAAACAGGGGTCGAGGAGAGTTGAAACATATATTTTTAAGAAGTATTGAGGGATATTATAATGAAAGTGAAGATATCATATAAAGGTATTTATTGAAATAAAACTTTTCAAATACGAAAACAACTTTTTTATCAACATTTTTAACTGATATAATTTTCAGTTAAGTAGGTTACTACAAGCTTACGAATAATCAACTCCTAAAGTAGTTAAAATTACCTATCACAACGACCTATGTGTAACTTTAATCAAAATAACGATAAACAAAATGTTTTACATTCCTTTATGATAATATATATTCTAAGTCTTTAACATAAAATATCAGTCGTTTCTTATTTATTACAATCAGTCTTAATTAATCAGTATTTCTTTGAATATTTAAGTTACAATACAACTATCTCACAAATGACTAAAATCAAAATAATTATGGAAATAAAAATATCAGTCTGACAAGCAGTTGTGGCAAACATAGGAAAATTCTCCACCAGTGCAAGCTTCATGAGCCCAGTTTTTGCACTCCAGACATTGCACCCACTTTTCTTTGGCTCGGCTATTAGAATATGGCTCAAAACAACAAAGGCATAAAGTTTCCTCTTCTTCTTCACTGTCTTCATTTTTTCTTTGTTTCTTTATAACCTTGGTCTTCTTAGTTTTAGTGTCAAGTTTTGAACTTTTCCTTTTTTTTGTTTCATCAAAGTTAGGTTTTTTCACTTTTTTCTTAGAAATTCGAACTGCTTCGATTGCAGCTAGTTCATCCTTTACGGGAGTGTTGGTTAAGATAGCTGATTTCACTTTGCGTCGATTTGTTTGATTTCCTTTTCGTGGTGGAGCCTTTGGCAAGGGTCTAAGAGTGTCAGGTGAGAATGGAATTGCTGTCATAGTAACTGAAGTATCTCGTGATGTAGATGCTACAGGTATTACATCAGATATAAAGACTGTAGAGGGAACAACGGGTTCAGATATCGCCAGACCAGGTGAATTTATACGAGGGTTTTTTGCATGTTTAAGTAAGTTTTCTGCATTGTAGCTGAGTAGAGGAGGAGTAACCGGTAAATTTAAGATTGATGGACTTGGTGTACGGGAATCGTGTAAAATACTGTCTGCAAGGGTAGAACATGGCACGGATTCTTCACATCTAGAAATGCCTTCCAAGTTAGAGCTCGATGGACCAGGACTAGTGGAAGTTGGCAAGGATCGATCAGTAACCTGACTGGGAAGATAATCAGCGTCCTGGAATATTTCAGTGTTAACTGGCCAAATTCCGGTATGGATGAATCCGGAAGATATATTGCGTGGTGTGACGGCTGTGTCAAACGAAGTTTTTACTATCCCAGGAATATCATAGATGGACATTACTTTTCCTGGATTAGACCGCATCCAATTATCACAAGCTGTATTAACTGCTTTTTTCACCGGCCCAAAAACGGCCCTGTCCATTGGCTGCAACTTATGAGTGCAGTGAGGTGGAAAAGTTAATAGAATTATGCCATTTTCCTTGCAGAACTCGATATTTTTAACTGCAGTGTGTGAAGCGTGGTTGTCTAATAACAATAGAACTTTATTTTCTTTAGATGGCCTGACTTGGTCTTTGAAAAATGTAAGAAATATATTGAAGTCATCTTCTTGCATCCACCCTGACCCATTCGCAGAGCCAATTGATCCAATAGGTCCATCGCGTATAAAGTGATCATTAAATCTTTTTCGCGGAAAGATAAACATCGGAGGTATGTGGTTACCAAGGGCATTTCCTGCTAGTGCTATAGTAACTAATGTTCCCCTCTCCGCGGAAGTCATGGCACTCACTTGTTTTTGTCCTCGTCGGGCAATAATGCGGTCTGGTTTCTGAACAGTCGTGATGCCCGATTCATCAACGTTCCATATATCTTTTGCCTGCAACTTGTATTTGTCAACTACTGAGGTATAATTTTCGAAAAAAAGTTTTACGTTAGTTCTATTAAAACTTGTAGCTCGAGCGATACTTGTAGGTTGAGGTAGTCTTAGAGAAAGAACTGGATGACGCTTCATAAAAGATCGAAGCCAAACCTCTCCAGCCATTTCATGCTCATTCCAAGAAGAAGGAATTTTTTTATTATATTCAACAGCCAACCTATAAGCAAACGTTCTGGCTTCCTTAGTTCTTAGGCCAAAGTTAGCAGCGGCACAGTTTAAAAGATATTCACAGAGTACTTTTTCTTCTGAAGCTGTAAAAACAGTCTTTTCTGGATATCCGACCGTCGGTGGATTCGCCGTTTCGTTATCTTCATAAGCAGTTTTTTTTTTAATATACCTGTATAAGGAGGTATGGTTCAGGTTGTAACTCGAAGCCGCGTCACGGAGACTTTTCTGTCGCAAGGTTACTTCTTCGGCTGCGAGATCATATATTTCGCGACTCGCCATACCTCTATCAGTCTTTCTTTTATAATCAGTAGGCATGCTGAAACAAAATGTCCAAATTAAATCAACAAAAAAAAAATTGAAAACGAGGAGAGTTGAAACACCCTGTTTCAAATCTCCTCAGTAAGAAAAAAACTCCCATTTTTTATTAAATCTATGATCAAGAAGCAAATACACAGAAACCAATTGTACTAAATATATATAACAAATCTTTAGTTAATGAGCTTTCGAAACATATATAACTTAAACCAAAATACAAAACATATAACAAAATAAAGGCATCGTAAAAATTCGTTGAAAACTTACTTTTCACGATTTTTGTCACATGGCACATTAAACTCCACAACCGCGCGACTTACGCGACGGACACGAACTGACATGTCTGCGGGAGGAGGGAAGTAGGTGTAAAGCGACGTTGCCAGCTTGCTAACGGTTTTGAGTACCGAGAAATCTGTACTGTTTCAAATCACCTTTGTTTCAAATGCCCTCGGTCTCCCCTACTGGGATGTTTATGTATTTTGTATAACACGATTTTTGTACGTGTAGTTTAGTATCCACACACGATTAAGTCGGGACACAAAGTATTACCACGGAGGGTAGTTGAAAATATTCATTTTTAATACAAAAAATAGAAATTATTCACATTATTTCATAACAATTTTAAAATACACGATTCACAACTTACCAGAATGTTTTAAATATGTATGTATGTATGTCTGCAAATCTGCAGTGACTGCACGATGGAGACAAAGATGTTTTTTCTGGTTCATCATCATCAGATAAAACTATAATTTGTCGTTGTCTATATACATACGAGGTTTCTTAACAAACTTTTCACCATATCACTATTATCACCATTACTTGATCGTTTCCTTTTACCCATTTTTACGCTAAGTTATTTTTATTGAAAAAGTACGTGTGAGTCGGACGAACACCAACACAAGTAATGACAAGAAATATGGCGGACCGCGGAATGTACTACGGTGCTGAGGAGTCAAAACACGTACTTTATTATATTTAAAACTTATATTTTTAAATAAATATTCTCTAAAAGTGTGATAAGGACGGCATCATCCCAGGTACTGCTGCATGTAAAACATAATCATCTTCGGGAGAGATACGAAGTATAATTACACGTTTCAGTGAACCACATGACCTTCATCAAGAAGAGCAATTCTTCTATAGACGATAATGACGAGCTTACCAGCAATGTTTCTATAAGAAGTAATAGGGTTCGCTCCAAAGTGAAACAGTCTGCTTGGAGCAGGTTGTTCAGCAGAAAACCAGCTGAAGAAGAATACGTTCTTCTTCCAATGTTTGCTAAAGAGAAGGATCAAATAAAAGTAGTAAAAAAGAGTTTGAAACAACCGGAGCAGAAAGATTGGTGGCTCAGATATTTTTGTTCAGAAAAAGTGAGTTTTATTTTGTTACGAGGGCGGCACTAAAAATTTCGGGAATCAAGGAAGTGAAACAACATTACTATTTAAAAATGTATTTATTGCTTTTTAAAGTATTCTCCGCGAAATTTGACACATTTTTCCATACACGAAACCAATCATTGAAGCAACCATTGCGGAAGTTTGGGTGCATTCGGAAGTTTGGGTCTCCAAAATGGCCGTTTAGTAGGCTTCCACAGCTTCTTCAGGTGATGAAAATCTCTGACCACGCAATTTATTCTTTATTTTAGGGAAAGTATAGAAATCATTAGGGCTTAGGTCGGGGCTGTACGGCGGATGGACTAATAATTCTATGTTTTCTTGCTCTAAAAACTCTTTTGTTCAGTGCGCGGTGTGAGAACTCCCATTGTCGTGATGGAAGATGATGCGGCGGTTGCAGTTTTTTTTGATTTTTTTTTTTTGATATTTTATCCTTGCAAACCAAATTCGTTGAAACCGTAGCAGTAGGTAACATATAATTTTCAGTAGCTATGAATTCATTAAACAGTTAAAAAAATATAGAAAATGTGACGTCATTACTTCCGACTGTACCTACAAATTGTTGGCGTTTCAGCAGGTAACGGGACTATTCTCACCTCTCGTTCCCACCGCTGCAACTCCTTTGTAGCCAGGATCTACAGCTTGACCTCCAATAAAAACCCAACCAGTGATGGTCAAGTTTGTCCCGGGTCAAAGTTAAACTGTTATTGGACCCGCAGCGACATTAATCAGAAAATCAGAAGAATATTTAGGAGGAGTTAAGTTAAGCAAAGGTTTAAGTAAAGGAGTAAAGTAAAGGAGTAACCTGTCAATAATATTTTTCACAAAATAGCTTACATTTTGGCTCACGTTTTGGCAGGTAATAAAACGATACTGGTGTTAACTACCAAAATGAGGGTTAATTAAACAACTTTGTACAGAACTCGTAACTGGATTAGTTATAGCTGACACGCCATAAAACATCCGTAAAACCATCCAGTTTCCATCTTTGTTGCTTAGATAAAGGATTTGCCACACTGGATGCGATCCGCGGTTTGAGTTTATCATGTACTAGCGACCGCCCGCGACTTCGTACGCGTGGATCCCGTTTTACCCCCTTCAGCATCATCATCATCATTTCAGCCATAGGAGGTCTACTACTGAACATAGGCCTCCCCCAATACTTTCCACGTTGATCGATTGGTAGCAGCCTGCGTCCAGCGCTTCCGTGCTACTTTTACGATGTCGTTGGTTCACCTTGTAGGTGGACGTCCCACGTTGCGTTTTCCGGTACGCGGCCTCCATTCCAGAAATTCCTTTCTTAGCGAATGCCTACTTCATAACATCTACCTGCATGCCAAATTTCAGCCCGATCCGTCCAGTGGTTTAGGCTGCGCGTTGATAGAACACCATGTCAGTCAATCAGTCAGTCAGTCACCTTTGAGTTATAAATTTATGTATATTTAGATGAACTACTTTGTCGGTCTCTACATTTTGATTTGATACGATTTGATCATGTGAGCACGAGCTAAGAATGCAAACAGCACCACTGACAGCACCGCAGAACGGATCCAGTGTGGCATACCCTAAAATCTCTAAAGCAACACAGTGGGTTGACACCGTAAACCAGTTACTAAGTTGGACTTTCTCCAATTTCATTAGCAGAGTCCAGTTGTCGTAACTTAACAAACTTGTAGCATAATAAGTTAGAACAAAAACATCGTAGAACAAAGTCCTATTGTGAATACTAGTGGCGATGTATCCAAGTTCTTGCTTGAAATTAAATGAGAAGGAATACTGAATCGTAGCATAATAAAGGTTCTTAGAACACTTCTTTACTGAACAACTAATATGAATAACAGAAAGAACTGTTTATGTTGAGTCATTGTGGAAATCCTTGGAGGAGGCCTTTGTTCAGTAGTGGACGTACCTCGGCTGAAATTATTATTAAGTCAAGAAATGAAACCTATTTTTTTAAAGGGGGTTTTGTCAAAATAACCCTGACAAAAGTGTGCTGTGCTGTGCCACTTTTTACCTGAATACCCCAGTTTAGATTTTAAACTTTCGCGTTCCATTTCAACTAAAATAGAACATAATGTAACTGAGGAATAAATGTCGTGTTAAGACCCGTGTCTTACTATCCCAGTTCTATATTAGTTACAGACATAAAGATAGAGTAGAATGTAAATCATTGATAAAGCGTTTGATTAACATATCAATAGTGGTAAATATTCACAAATGTATGTACTCGTATATGAGACCAAAAGTAATAATAATGCCCTTCCCATAAGCACTGCTCTAAGGCGTAACCTATCCAGTAAGTCTCCCTTAACACAAGATTAGTTTTAAACTTGGGCACTTCAAGCTGATTAAGACAGCTTGTCTCGTGGACTACACCATTACAACTAGATTGTGGCTTAATACAAGCATAACGTCATAATTTTAGAGCCAGTGTAATAACGGATTAATTTGTAATTAATACGCGCACAAATAGTTGTAGAAACTCAAACAAACAAGACCTGATAAAGTAGGTAGGAGTTAGTAGATGGCACGGGACTATTCCCACCTCTCGTTCTCACTGCTGCAACTCCTATGTAGCCAGGATCTACAGCTTGACCGCCAATAAAAACCCAACCAGTCGATACCTCTGGGCTCAAAGGTCGTAAAGGACAAAGTACGACTTTTCAGGAGAGGCAAAAAACGTTTTTTTATTTTTTTATTCGACGATAACTTTTTTGTTTTTTGAGCTATTAAATTATGACTTATGAAGAAAGTGCTTAGAATTCACAGCATTTTCCGAAGAGGTATTGAAAAACTGGACTAGAGCTGTATTTACTGAGATAGATTTCCTGTACGCCCTCAAAATTACAATAAAAAGACCTTTACGCCCCTCAAATATTCGTCCTAGGCAAGTTACTCAGGTCGTAAGTCTAGTTTTATTTCACAAAACTACAAAACTAAGGTAATAAATGACAATTTACATAGTTTTGTAGGTTTTCATGGGTCGTAACGGGACATCCAGGTAAGGTATTATGAAAGGGTAAATTGATGATTTAGCTTAAATATTTAATATTTTATGGTATTTCATATGCAATATACCATTTCTTCACATATTTTTAATGAATTATGGTCTTTTAAATTAAATAAAATTATTTTCCGTAACTTCATAATTTAATGCACACAATTTATAAAACTATTTAAGTAGAAGTTTTGATATCTTCGAACTAGAAGAAACTATTTACGATATAAAAGCAAATTTAGAAAATTAATATTATGACGCTTTTAAATAAAACTTCATAAATGTCTACTTTATAGGAAAAACCGAAACCAAATTAATTTTATTTATTTATTTAAACATTATTATTGTTTCGAAAAACTACAAATAGCGGACTTAATTCCATAGGGCAGTCTGTCCTCCAGTTGACCTTATGATAATGCAGATATAATAGAATTATTAAAACCAAACTATATTAATTACTAGCGGCCGCCCGCCACTTCGTACGCGTGGATCCCGTTTTACCCCCTTCATCTATCTTACGCGGTTTAGATTTTTTCATACAAATGTTTTTTCCCGCTAACTCCCGTTCCCGTAAGAATTTTGCAATATCCTGTTGCAACTAAGCTTTACGTTTACTAAGGTACCTGCATGCCAAATTTCAAGCGTCTAACTTAAGCGGTTTAGATTTTTCATACAAAAGGATTTTCCCGCTAATTCCCGTTCCCGTGGGAATTCCTAAGTATACTATAACCTGCCCAGGAGTATGAAGAATAATTGTACCAAGTTTCGTTAAAATCTGTCAAGTAGTTTTTGTTTCTATAAGGAACATACAGACAGACAGACAGACAGACAGACGGACAGACAGACAGACAAAAATTTTACTGATTGCATTTTTGGCATCAGTATAGATCACTAATCACCCCCTGATAGTTATTTTGAAAATTATTTCATGTACAGAATTGACCTCTCTACAGATTTATTATAAGTATAGATTTATTATATTATTTAATAAGAATTTAGAATAATTATTATTCTAAATTCTAAATAAATTAAACATTAATAATAATTCATAGTAGCTTAAAATTATGTCATTGTACTTGTGGTATAAAAGTAGAAAAGTTAGGTAAGTAAGATTACAAGTAGGAAGATTTTCATTCCAGTAAAATACATCCACTTACTTTACTCCTACATAATACCGTTTTTAAAAGCCAATTATTTTTAATATAAAAATATAACTTCGAAAAAAACTGCATTCACGCTTTTTAGTAGATTAAGAGTAGGCGCACACCGTTGATTTTTAGTTGGCCGATAGTTGTGCCCGATTTTAAATTGTATGAAGAATCGGCCAAATCGAATCGGCGTAGTTTGCGCACTCCCATACATGCCCATACTGATCAACTGCCCGACTAAACTATCGGCCGACGAAAAATCAACGGTGTGTGCCTACTCTTAGTCTCAACATATATTTTCCCATGTTGTGTAAATATTTTTCCTACTAGTTATTCTTTATTAGCTGATCCAAATAACTTTAGAAACTATACTAATTTATTATAATTGTAAAAGTCAAAAGTGGTTTTGACCAAGGGCGTTAGTCAAAATGACTAGGAAATCATTAAAAATAATAATCAAAAACGTATTTGTGACTTTTTTTCTCATAATATTTTTAACAAATCTAGCTTTTTCATTTTTTCAATTTTTATGATGACTATCGTTATTATATAGCATGTTTTTATTTTCTTAAATCATCTTTTAATAATTATCTTTTACCTGACAAATACCTAGTTTCTTCAAATATGAGAAATAATAAAAAGCAACATTACTTTACCCGATGTGGGTAGATGTCATCATTTTATATTTACAAATCACATAAATTACACTCTAAAATAGTTTTATTATATATTTTTGATGATTTTTTAGGTTCTTTCGTTTGTTCCAAACACACATACTTAAATACTATAAGGAACGTCTATCTGGGGGCACGGCAGTGCCCCCGCCAAGTCGAGCGCGAAGCAAACACTGCCGTACCATCCTTTACTGGAACCATTTCGCCGCATTTTCAGGCCCCTATTTGAGAACCTCTGGATAAGACCAGAACGCAGAAATTTTCGTCATCTAGTAAGCTATAATCACATACTTTAAATCCAAAATTTCAAGTCTGTAGGTTATTTAGTTCCGAAGTTAAGCGAAAGCAAAGTTTCGCATTTACGACACTCACTCACTCACTCACTCACTGATGATCATCAAAATAGAACTAGTACTTCCCATTAACTCAGAGGGCTGAAATTTGGTACAGAGTTAGGGTTTAATGGCCACATAAAGGGAAAACTATAAAAACTAGGAAAATCGAAGATCTGGAGTAACAATAAAGAAATCGCAGTAAGGAACCATAGACTTGGCACGACTTTGTCTAGATTTCATTACTTTTTAGAGATAAACAAGCAGCTCCATCGAGACTTGGCTAGTTTTTTACAGAATGTTTTTGGTGGGATAAAATTTACCTTCACAGTTATTTTAATATCCTCACTGTGTAGATTTTTAAAATATTTGTTTAGATAATCTAAGAGCGTAAAGGACAAATTATTTAGACTTGGGTATGAAATGTAAGGTTGTATAGGACAATAGATATACTACATGTACATTATACACCCAAAAATTTGTGTTTACTTGTTCTTTACTACCATGGTAACTGTACTAAAAAATCAAATGGTATTTACATCCCAATTTTCACGATGAATTCTGTTTAGCTTATCAAATATGATGGGTCGTAAAGGCACTTTTTTTGGGAATTTCGACAAACTAAATATACAGATCGATAGAGAATTAAATTTTGAGTAAAACTGTATAAATAACTCATTTTCGGTATTTCGTCCTTTACGACCTTTGAGCCCAGAGGTATCGCAGTGATGGTCAAGTTCGTCCCGGGGGAAAGTTAAACTGTCATTGGACCTGCAACGAAATTAATCAGAAGAATATAGGGGGAGTTCGAAGTTAAGAATGCAGGCTACTTGCGGCTGGTTCTTCTCTTATGACTTAAAAAGATGACAGGTGGCTACTCCTACTACCAAAAATACATTAGGTATCGTCATGATAATAAGGATTTACCATCTCGAAAAATATTGTCATCAATTGGCTATAGTCACTACCAAATGTTATCCAAGATTATTTAAATTTTCATATAGAAATGTAATTTAGACGAACTAAAGTATGTTATACGACACGTCTCTCATGCTTAATCACAATCCACCTTGAGCTAAACTATTCCCTCATGTACGAACGGGAGCTAAATGTACGACAACATCGTTGCTACAGTTTTTGTCCCATTTCCACTTGCTTGAGGAACCCTAAGTATATTAAAGTTTGTAACAAAACGTCGTCGGAAGAATCGTGGAGGACAATAACGACAGTTCTTGTTCAATCTGATTCAAAACCACGCTTTTGAATCGTACTTTAGTTTCCTCTTGAGCAGAAATAATGTTTCCTGGAAGTTTTATTTATAATTTTGTAGCATATTCGGTTTGTTAGTGTCATTATATTCGTGCCATATAGTATCAATGTGAAGAAAAATCAACAGAAAGGCCTAGTGTGTTTATCTAAAATTCTGGATAGATAGTACATTATTAATTTATCTACCTAAAGTATTTTTATCCCATTTTGTTTTTTATTTTACTTAATACCTTTTCTGATAAAACCCTTCATGTTAATTACTTTCATAATTAAATTCGGAAGCTATTACGAGTAGAAACAGAGTTGAGTTAGTATTATTAAAAAAGGTTTCAAATTAATTTGCGAACTTTTCATATAATTAAAGCAAGTATTGATAAAAAATCCTATTTCCTCATTATTATCCTGTGTTCGCGATTAATAAAAATGCTGGAAAAATAAAACACTGTGGTGTAATCGTTGCCTTACCACAACATGTCTTGTGGCCTTACCCTGAAAATGTTCTTATCGCCCCATGTTAAAACAAACTAAGAAGTCATGCTCAAGTTTTGTTTGAGTAGGCCACCACAACATTCGCAAAAGTTGCCCTTTCGGGTCAGCTGGGTTTCCCTTCGTTATGTTTTGTATACAGAAACAATGAACGATGACCAAACGAAGTATAGCCCGCACCACAATTTATTATTCTCCATCTTAAAGCCTGATCCGTGAGCACGTAGAATCCCGTCCAATGACCCCAAGCTGCCCATCCTTGTCGCTCGCACGTAATTATGTTGCTGTCGCGCTCGCACACTCACTACAGGCGCGCGTCGCATAGTCGCGACAGCAATAAATTACCCGCGAGCGATAAGGATGGGTAGCTTGGGGTCATTGGACGGGATTCTACGTGCTCACGGACCAGGCTTTAGTTACCTACATACAAATAAGTGACTGACGTTGATATCAATTTGTCAGATGATAACTTCAATTCTTTGAAACTAACAAAAGTTTATTTCATCAGGTATCATGGGTCCGGCACCGGGACATCCACCTGCTGACGGTGGGGCGCTACACGTACACGTCGGACCAGCGCTTCGAGGCGCAGCACAAGCCGCGCTCCGAGGAGTGGGCGCTGCGCATCCGCAGCCCGCAGCGGCGCGACTCCGGCCAGTACGAGTGCCAGATCTCCACCACGCCGCCCATCGGCCACGCCGTGTTCCTCAACATAGTAGGTACGGCACACACAGAGCGACTAGCGAGCGTCACTCACTACACCTCAGCAGCGGCGCGACTCCGGCCAGTACGAGTGCCAGTGTGCTTACCATGAGTTTACGTTAGGTGTACTCGCTAGCGAGTACGTCAAAAAAATCTATGAAGATTTTATTTCTTGAAAGTAGCCGCTAGAGGCGCTGCACAATATGTCATCATCAATCATCAACAGCCCTTTACAGTCCACTACTGGACTATGAGCCTTCTCCACGTGGAGGGTTTTGCCATAATCCCCACGCTTGGCAGGCGGGTTGGAGATCGCAGTTTAAAAGATTGATGTTTGTCAGAGAGCGCTGCTACCCGTTCTCTGTTTGATGTGTAGTCCCTAAGTCGCCTCTTACGACACCCGCGGGAAGAGTAGGGGTTGGTGACAAATGTATTCTACTCTGCCGTCACCACACGGCATACATTTGTACAATATGTAATACATTTTAATGTCATTTTCTTACGCAGTCACTAGCGATCACACCTAACGTAAACTCGCTGATCTCCACCACGCCGCCCATCGGCCACGCCGTGTTCCTCAACATAGTAGGTACGGCATACACAGAGCGACTAGCAAGCGTCACTCACTACACCTCAGCAGCGTAACACTAGGCCGTGTCCCTTTTACTTGATAGTAATGTTTTTCAATTGTGATCGAATTAGAAATGAGGAGATCAGCAGGAAAACCAAAGTGACTGACATAGAACGCAGAATTTCTAAAATCAAGTGGCAGTGGGTGGCGCACATGCTCGCAGAGCTGATGGTCGCTGGGGCAGAAAATTTCTCGAGTGGCGACCATGATCCGGAAGACGTATTGTGGGCAGACCTTCCACTAGGTGAACCGACGATCTGGTGAAGGTCGCGGGAGGTGCCTGGATGCGGGCGACGGAGGACCGATCGCTGTGGAAATCCTTGGGGGAGGCCTTTGTCCAGCAGTAGACGTCATTCGGTTGAAACGAACGAACGTTATTGTAGTATACAATAAGATTTATTAGACACAGACGAGTAGGTAATCATAATAGGCTAATTGGTCATGAATTTATTCATTACTTAACCAATTGCGGAAAAACTAGCGCGCTATATTATGCTACAGACTGAAACCTTCCTCGAGATAGGAATTCCTTGTTAAAGTGATATTAGGTACCTCGAGCGGAGCTCCTGCTCAAATTACCTACCTTATTATGATAATAACTTTTAGAGCACTTCCTTTCTCATAACTGGCAATATCAACATAGTTTCTTAATAAGACACTTTTCCGATAATGCAATGATGTCAAGATCAGTTCAGCGTAAAATCTGTAGTCATCTTTGACGCTTCAAGCAGTAAAATTGAAAAATTAACTTTAAGCTACAAGTTTTTTGTTAATGTAAATACCTGCCTAGTAAAATTACAGATTCCCTCAAAACCTTTTAATATTTGTCCAAAACTTGACCGATCTTTGACAATTTTATTACATTATGTAGAGCTCCTTAAAAGTTTCGGCTAAAACTCGTAAAACATTTTCATGAAATTCTTACAAACCTGGCGTATATAATCGGATTTTGGTTGACATTATCACTAAAAAGAATGGCCCATGGGCAAAACAACACGTAGTCTCAGTAAGCAATTAAGACCAAATGAAATAAATATTTATGCAATCGCTCGAATCTAGTTACTGATATGGTATGATGGAGGACCAGTTCGCGTGCAGATTTATCGATAAAAACTTTTAGCAACTTAATAACTCGTATTGTATTCGATTTCCTTCTTCGTCTAATAATAAAGATCTAAGATATATTTTGATAAGCGCTTATTCACCTTTCGTTAACGTCATTGTGATTAAAACGGAGCAACATACTTGTAGGTGTACCTAGGTGAACCGACGATCTGGTGAAGGTCGCGGGAAGTACCTGGATGGGGACAACGCAGAACCTGTCTTTATGGAAATACTTGACTGAGGCCTTTGTCCAGCAGTGGTCGTCCAGCAGTGGTCGTCGTTTGACTGAACCTAACTTGTTCCTTATAACGTTAAAATGTTAGTGACTAAGAAGTGAAAATTATTTTAGTAAAACTTCACAGTCATTTCAATTAATTCTCGTTTTTATTACTTTTTTTTTCGGAATAATAAAACGCAAGATACTAAGGAGAAAATACTGCATAATGCAAGCAAACCGTGTTGTAATTGTAATCTCATCTATAACAGCTTTCAAGTGAAAAACCATGTTCATTAAATTTCCGACATTACAAACGCCATAACTGTCAATTATCGCATACACAAGCCTGTAACCTACCAAATGCCGTATCAGCGTGGTTACTCCGAAAAACGTTATCCGAAGTTTCGAATGTTACCATCTCTCTCACACAAATCGAGATGCCAGTATGAGCGACGGTGATAGATAGACCCGAAACTACGTAAACAGCGTTTCGTAGTAGCTCTGCTGAATTACCATGTTCGCGGGGCGCCGGACCGGATCATTTGATTTCGCAAGCAAATCATCGAATTCAAATCATGAGTACATTTGTCCAGCGGATTTGCATAATGAACGCGTGATTAGTAAACTGCAGCTGGATTTCGATGATGAAGCATAAGAGGATTCTAGATGGTAAATGGATGTTGCAGTCGTTTGTTCGTTCGTTCGTTTCAGCCGAAAGACGTCCACTGCTGGACAAAGGCATCGCCCAAGGATTTCCAAAAAGAGCGGTCCGGCGCCGCTCGCATCCAGGCACCTCCCGCTCGCATCCAGGCACCTCCCGCGACCCTCACCAGATCGTCGGTTCACCTAGTGGGAGGCCTGCCCACGCGGCCATCAGCTCTACGAGCTATGTACCTACCTAGTCATTTGTAAATTGTATAATTCACATTTATAATCTCTTTAAAGAGGCTGATAAAGGTCGCATCGTAAGATGATCCCACAAGGACAGACGCCAACGGCCAATCTGGAAATCAATCTGTTCAGCGTGGACGTCCTTTGGCTGAAATGATGATGATGATGATGATGATGATGATGATGAAAAATGGTGACTAAGTGACAGATGGAAGCAAAATAGCCAGTAAAAGGTTTTAAACCTTTGTTTGTCACCTGTCATCCGCTTTGCAATGGAGGGAAGTCGAACCTTAATTTCGAACTCATCCTATGTTCTTCTGATTAATTTCGTTGCGGGTCCAATGACAGTTTAACTTTCCCCCGGGATAAACTTGACCTTCATTGGTTGGGTTTTTATGGCGGTGAAACTGTAGATCCTGGCTACACAGGAGTTGCAGTGGTGGGAACGAGAGGTGGGAATAGTCCCGTAGCCAGTTCATTTGTGGTTGAGGATTCTGGGTGAATCTCGCTTCAACCGTCGGCTTGATCACTTAAAAGCGTGTCGAGGACGGCGAATTCGCCGCCAATCCTATGCGCGAACACGAACGTATTGTATGACGAGATTTACGCGCGAATTTTTAACTCGCGCGTGTCTTGTGGTCGCAATGTATTGACTCCTAGTATCTCACCAACGTGCGTATGGATGGAGGCCCTAAATATCAGGTCAAAAAAACTTCCTCGTTAAAAAAAACTTTTCCCATTTCTCATACTGTCATTTTCTTTCAGAGCCAGAGACGGAGATCCTCGGAGGTCCAGACCTGTTTATCTACGCCGGCTCCACCATAAACTTGACCTGCATAGTGCGGCACACGCCGGAGCCACCTAACACTATCAATTGGACGCATAGAGGCAAGGTAAGTGGATTAACTAACAACTATTTCTATTATAGTTGTTGCAATTCACGAAGGCAAGTGAACTTTACATGTGTGGTGGCTACAATATCGTTATGTGCAAGTACACGTACACACACAAGTAAATATCCCTCGCCGTAGTGAGTTGGAAGAAGAAGAAAACTAACTTCATGAATGAAATATGGAACTACGAGTATAACATGTGGTTCAGGCAGAGTAGAGTAGGAACCCCCTATTCTTCTCGTAAATGTCATAAGTGATAAAAAAACCATTTCCTCCATTTTCACTGGTAAATTAGAGAGGCACATACTCCCGCAGCTGTGACAAATAATAAATCTATACTATCTATACTTAATATACAGGGTGGAAACGATAAGTGATCTCATTCGATTATTTCTAAATTATATAAGATATCAAAAAACTGATTACTGATCCTGAAAGTGCTTCACGAGCTCTTTCAAATGGTACCAATAATAGGTTACAGAATAAACTGGAACTATCCGAAAATTCAATGTTTCCAGCTTCCATACATTTCGTAAAGTTACATAATATTAAAAACTACACAAGATATTGCAAAACTAGTTACTGATCCTAAAAGTACTTCACGAGCTCTATCCAACGGTATCAACAATAGCTTACAGAATAAATTGGATCTATCCAAAAATTCAATGTTTCCATCTTCCATACATTTAGTACTATCACAGTCATGGTACTCATCTCTTGACAAATTATAGCAAGTAAAGCCTAAAACATATTTTCCACAAATAATTTTAAAGTTTCGAGTTTATTTAACCGACTTTTTAAGTTTATTATTTAACAAAAAATAAATTACACTTCTATTATTGTGTAGTTGGCATACATTTAGTATGGAAGCTGGAAACATTGAATTTTCAGATAGTTCCAGTTTATTCTGTAACCTATTATTGGTACCGTTTGAAAGAGCTTGTGAAGCACTTTCAGGATCAGTAACCAGTTTTTCGATATCTTGTATATAGTTTAGAAATAATCGAGTGAGATCACTTATCGTTTCCACCCTGTATATTATCAATGCGAAAGTAACTCTGTCTGTCTGTCTCGCTTTCACGCCTAAACCACGAAACCGATTTTGATGAAATTTGGCATAGAGATAGTTTGAGTCCCGCGAAAGGACATAAGGATAGTTTTTATCCCGGTTTTTGAAACAGGCGCGCGCGCGATAAAGTTTTTCTGTGACAGACAAAAATCCACGCGGGCGATGCCGCGGGCGGAAAACTAGTGACCTGATAAAGAAGACTTACCAAAATATACAAGTAATAAAAGCTTACTATTTAATTTTATTAAAATCTAAGTGATTCCGCTCTAGTTTGTCCGCAACAGGGCGACTAGTAGGTGTACTTACTTTATCAAGCGTTTAATAGTGTATTTTTTTCTGTAGTTCATCAAGAAATCAATGAACTGTGCACCCTATTTTCCCAACAATTAAAACAAATTAAGTATTTGCCTGATGTTATTAGAAATTATTAAATATATATAAATATTCAAACGAAAATGTTACTGCATGAGTAGAACGTACCACTATTAAACGAGTATACTATTGTTTCAATATTCAAATAATTATATTGATTGAATGGCGGATGCCACGAGAGATAATGTTCACTCAACCACACAGAATAATTGTCGCGATTTGAAATGATTTAATTTTGAAATACAAAACAATATCTAGCCGTTTAAACAGATTGTTGGATAAATATCGTGTAATAATATAAGGTAATTTGTGAATAATTTAGTGTAGTTTGTTCGCTGGCAACATGGCAAGATTCGATGTTAATGATTTTGGACTTGGTGTTGACCAGAAGAGCTATGTTGTATCTCGATTTATGTTGTAACAAACGTCTTCTTATACTTTATCCCGGTTTCTGGAAGGAGGACACGCGCACGATAAATATTTTTTGTGACAGACGCGGGCGAAACCGCGAGCAAAAGCTAGTTTGTTTATTAATTGAAATTTATAAATTGTTAACATTGGTAACATTTATTTTACTGAAAACAGATTTGAGCTGCAGCTTATGAAACCAGCCAGTAGCGTCAGAAATTATTCATACTTTGGTTGTGGCTTCGACGCGCTCGAACGCTCCAACGATACCATAGTAAATGTATGAAATATTTCATACGTCGACGTCGACGGTGAATTACGAATACCTCCTTTGTTTTAGGTACTCATAGAATATGTTTCAACAAACTTGAACATTTTATATAATAAAACACGTTATTACAGTAAGTGAAGTAGTATTACGATTCTCACTACCTACTTACGCAAGTTTTCACACTGCTCTTTTTCTCATTTAGTACCTACATAAAGAACCAGTTTCACCAATTCAAAGTAAGTTTCGGATCTGATATGAAAAAAAGCTAATAAAGTTATGTGTTTAGTGATTTTTCTGCCAGACCTATAACTGATACCTGTAAAACTAAAAGTTTCAGTTTATTGAACAATAAGTAAGTTCATAATAGACTATCAAGGAATTTAGCGGCAAAACAGACTTTCATTAAACTAAGATTACATGCATAACCCGTTACAATCCTGTTTATTCCACCAACAATTACACAGCAGATTGCCGGAGCGATTCCATACTAACCGCCCACGAAATGGAATGGCATTCCAATTCCAGAGTCTGCAATTAGACCGTAAACTCCGCGAAACAGCCCATACCTAAAGACTGCGGAGCTGTGGCAAGCTAACGAAAAGTTATTATACTGAATACTTGCAGTAGAGTTGTCTGACTCGCTCTGTTAGACGGTGTTTTATCCGACATTTTGGTTAAGTGCGCGATCTTGAGTTTTGTTTTTTTTTTTTCAATTGCTTTATTGTCATTTTGTAAATTAACGGTATTTTAAAGATCGGTTTTCGCTGTCCATAGTCACGCTTTTTGTTATTCTTTAACTCTTCACTGAATGTGCACGGTCTTCTCTAATTTACCAGAGCAAATGTAGGATTAAAATACTGAGTAAGTGTTCTGACTCAACTATCATCCACCTAGCCGAAGGCATTAGCGCTTGGAGGCAGTTAAGCTCTGAAAATTTGCCGTTGTCTCTCATCTCACAAAGACAGTGGGACGAGCCGCTCTGCAGACTTGTACGGAATAACTTATTAAACACGTCTTCCAGTTCTGCAGATCGAGCTCGTCTTCTGGCTGTAGCCGAGTGGGAATCAGGTCTTTGGCTTCACTCCCTACCTTCTCCTCATATTGGCACACTTTTGGATACTACCACTTTTAATTTAGCAGTCTCGCTCCGTTTGGGGGCACCATGCATTGTCCCCCATCGCTGTCCCTGCGGTTACATGGTTGACTCCCTTGGTCATCACGGACTGTCATGCAACAGAAGTGCCGGGAGAATTTTCCCGTCACGCCAGCCTCAATGACATCATACGCAGGTCTCTTTTGAACCAAATGGCCTGGTTCGAAGTGATGGTAAGAGACCTGATGGTATGACTTTGGTTCCATGGATGGTGGGACGGCCACTAGTGTGGGATGCAACCTGCGTAGACACACTGGCACCGTCTCATCTTCCGCAAACCTCGTCTGGGGCTGGTACTGCCGCTGCATCAGCGGAATCCCTCAAGCGACGCAAATATGTAGGTCTTAGTAGTACCTACATGTTTGAGCCATTTGGGGTCGAGACGCTAGGTCCGTGGGGACCAAGTGCTCATCGCCTGTACAGGGAATTAGCCAAGCGGCTGATTGACTGTACAGGTGATAGAAGAGCTGGCGCATTTCTTGGCCAACGAATCAGTTTGGCCATTCAGCGTGGAAATGCAGCCAGCATTCTGGGCACCATGTCGCGTTGTTTGGACAGCGATTTGGGACATAATTTTTATTTGTAAATATTTAGTCTATGTAGGTTAATTATTTGTATTAATCTTAATCTCTTAATTCTATACTTTTAATAAATACAATACCGAAGTTGGGATGTCATCACTAATTCTGAATTATAATATGAAGGTGTTTCTTCCTCACCCTTTATTTTGAACTAAGTATTTTAGACAACATCATGAGCACTTAAGATTTAGGTGTTGAACCGCCTGTATATCTGATTTTAATCAATTTAAAATCGTTAAGAAGTGCATTCCTGTATTTACGAGTATTTTCGCAACGCACCATTAGTACGTCAATTCCTGTAATTTGGCTTGTATCCTACTCCATATATCTTTGAAATGTTTGTATGCTGTTTCCGAAGATGTATGTTATGTCTTTACTCGCGAGTACAACCTGGAGCAAAGGTTATTATCATTTCCGGAATTATCTTCCATTTGTCTTTGTACATTAGTAGTATTATCTTTAACTGTACCAATTACAGTTGAACTGAGGATAGAGCAAACAATAATGGTTGTTAGTTTTACATAATTGTACATTAAGTATACCGTAATTTTTGTGTCCTTTGGATTTGTAGGTAGGTATAGACATAACTGATGGTTTGATAGAATTGATAGAAAAATTAAAGTTAAAAATCTGTGTGTGTGTGTAAAAATCATTGCTTTGATAGAAAAATTAAAGTTAAAAATCTGTCGGTAAGTAAGTACGGGCAGATATTTTTGAATGAACTGGGGCATTAAACATGCAACTGCCCAGTTGTAGAGAGCTTTTTCCAAAGAGTTTAAGAATCAGTCGCGATTGCAAGAAAGTTTGCGATTTAGAAGTTGATGCAGTCCAGTCCTTAAGTCAGTCGACAGTCCCGACTTGAACTACTTTCCTCAGCAAAGTTGTCGACGTTCCAATACTAGAGGGCGGAATGGAATATGTAATGTTCCCCAGGGTACCGGCGTGGATCCACTATCAACTCTACGTCAAAGACCGATGGTTAGTTATCGCGCACACAACACATCACTTTCTATTCTGGCTTGTATTATGGTGAGAAATGTTTGTCTATTCTTACTTCAGGTGTAAAGAGATATTCCGTATTGATTCTGAATCAGTAAGTGAGTTGTAATCAAGGCCATATACATCACCGTAACGTATGGTAATCTTTAGGTGATGGAAAATACAGAAATATTTTACGAGATAGATTTAAAACATTTTTCTCCCATTCTAGACAAATCAAGGTCTAAACTATGTTACTATGCCCGAAATGCGACACAACTAGCTAATCATCAGTACGATATAGCCGTAAATTGACTTCTTGTTAACTACATATTAGTTAACAAGAAGGCAATTTACTCTGTTAAAATCGTGAACGCACTGTTGACATAAACTTTCCTTGGCTCGCTCCTTTATCGCAACGCACTCGTAATTTTAAGAATTAAATCGTTCACCAATGTTTTAATATGCAGTAAAAACTCGTGGCACTTTTTTTTGTTATGTGACCATCCGGACCATGCTACATTGTATTTCACATAATTTATATCCAGTTAAGTGGTATAACAGCTTACCTATAAGCCAACATTTGTCTGTGAGATCCAAATGGAATGTACTAGAAACTCACGCGAAACTCTTGACAGCTTTCAGAACTTCCCTTGGCTGCCTAATTTATCGTAACCACACGTTATTGAGTTACGTAGAAGACATATTGCCGTCACATGTTATTCTACTGTAAATAATATAAACTGTGTGCGCCAGGACTTACAAGTAAAAGTTAACATGGGTAAAACACTAATCCACCGGAAAAAAATTGTATAACTCATTTAGGATCTTAGGTCTTCAATTATCATATAATTGAAGACCTTTTTAATCTTTATATTAATGTTCCTTTATAAAATTCAAAAACATCTATCCGTCGAAAGTACCTACTGTATAATATTCGAACACAAAATGTATAAGGCCCAGGACGAGCTACGATGTTGTGTAACGAGACCTTGTCATATCGTCAACAAAAGAACACGTTTCATACCACGAGACGTTGCTACGTTGATGCCACGAGAATCCAACATACTGCGTTATAGTAATAATATAATCTAGCTTCGTTCTTTATAGACTTTTTTGCTTTTCCATAAAATATTTATGACTTTGCAGACAAATCTGACTAAATTGCATACAACTTTGACTAAACATGTTGTAACGACACGTTAATTAATATCCACACATCATCATCATCATTTCAGCCATAGGACGTCTACTGCTGAACATAGGCCTCCCCCAATGCTTTCTACGTTGATCGATTGGTAGCGGCCTGCGTCCAGCGCTTCCCTGCTACCTTTATGATGTCGTTACATCATAATATCCACACGCGTCGTGGAAAAAGCAAAGTAATTGTATTATATGTAGGTTTGATGTTGAAATAAAATGCTGAAGTTATTATTAACACTTGGGGTTTTATTCTTCATAATTACTTCACAACTTGTACAACAACGTCTGTCCTTCGCTTTTTCTCCAATAATATTCCATATGGCCGCCGCAGTGTTGCCAACCATTACATCATATCCCTTTTCCAAAAAAAAATATAAAAAAAAAGATGGAAAACCGCAAACCGGATGCCAATAGGAATACTGCTAATTGTTGCTTAAAATTTCTCCACCTCGTAAGCACGTTACCTACAGAGTCCATCTGAAGTGGTTGAGGCATTTTGAATTCGAGAGGAGTGCCCATTTCTTCGGTTTCTTGTAATGTTTCTTGCACGTGTTTGGAGTGGTTTTTCGTATCGTGATTTTCGTCAGTTTTCATAACTTCTTAATGGTTCTTGAAGCCGACTGCGCCATGTATTATATGTAGGTTTGATGTTGAAATAAAATGCTGAAGTTATTATTAACCCGGCGTCAATGACGCTGGGTCATATTGACCCGAGGCATTTTCAAACGTTCATAATTTTTTTTTGCGTCCATTTTGTGGTTCGAGCGTTCGTATAGCTGGAGATAGAACCTCCCTAAATCCATTCCGTTAGTTAACGTATTGTGACTCCGCTTGCGTAGCGAGATACACAGGCTTCAAATTAAAACGGGTCATTATGACCCGGCGTCATCGGTGGCGCGGTGATTTTGTGACTTACTTTTATTCGCTTATTTTGTGTTTAGTGCTAGCTTATGTTGTTCTTTTTTAAGTTTTAGTCAAAATGTCTTTGTTAAATGACCCAGCAAGAATGTAGCGTTACTGGAAGAGTCGGATTCCGAGATTGAAGAATTTCAGGCTGTAATAGCCAGAACTTAGAAATGGCAACGAATGTGAAAAAGACGCAAGTAATGGGGACTCAGTCTTCGGATAATCTCGAACTTGCATTAGTACGACGCCGGCAAGTGCGTCATGCCATATTTACATGCCCAGACCATTTGATTACATACTGCACCAGTTGCAGCAGTTCCATGGCTCTGAATGATGAAGTAGAAAACTGATCTCATTGTATCTGCATATAAAAAGTTGATTTTATCTCTTTTTCACCATATAACATTGTTGATTCCCATTTATACTAAAAATCTTTACCAAAAACAAAAAATATAGACTCAAATGTATTTCTATACGTGATTTTTTCATGTTTTGTTTAAAAATTCATAAAAAAATATTTATTTCATGTATTCGTTTTATTTTTGTTTTATTAGATCAGTAAAGAACCCTATATATATAGACAGTAATTAAAATTAAGATTACTTGTACAATTTCCTAAAAAATTATCGATGAAATGTGGGTCAATATGACCCGGGGTCATCGTCTTTGCAATTATTTTCACGTCATTGGCGCCGGGTTAACACTTGGGGTTTTATTCTTCATAATTACTTCACAACTTGTACAACAACGTCTGTCCTTCGCTTTTTCTCCAATAATATTCCATATGGCCGCCGCAGTGTTGCCAACCATTACAGTAATAATCTTACTTCATTATCTACTTTGAAGAACGTGTTGTTGTAGTAAACAATTACAACTCGATCGAGCTAACTGCGCACCCCGCTGGAATACAACTCTTCCTTCCACTTACCCGCACACCACCCCGCGTTTGGCCCGTCCGTCCTAGAGCGTCGATTTGACGTCACGGCTGCCGGGTGCGCAATTAATCCTACTGGCCTGTACACTATCGTTGTCGTATCGTAACACATTTCGTTGTAGCAGTAAGACAAATACAGACCACAGACTATAAATGTTCGCGAAGCCCACACTAGGCCTCGTCGGCACACGCACTGACGATCGCCAAACGGCTGGAGTACCGTATGTACTCGCCACTCTGTCCGGTGAAGCTGGAAAAGCTCTTCAAGCTACCAGCGCGCGTCCCTTAAAAAAAAAGAAAAAAATATTAGTAATGACACGGCAATCTTCATTGTCCTATTGTCGTGGTAAAGCAAATAAATAATCCAACTTCCTTGTCCACAGACTATAAACTTCGACTCGACGCGCGGTGGTATATCGCTAGTAACAGAGAAGGGTATACACAGTAGCAGTAGGCTACTGGTGCAGGCGGCGCGGACGTCTGACGCGGGCGCATACCAATGTGCACCAGACAACGCACAGATGGCTACAGCACGAGTTCATGTACTTACTGGTGAGTTCTAGTTTTCCTCAGAAACAGAGAAGGGTATACACAGTAGCCGTAGGCTACTGGTGCAGGCAGCGCGGACGTCTGACGTGGTCGCATATCAGTGTGTGCCAGACAACGCACAGATGGCTACAGCACGAGTTCATGTACTTACCTACTGGTAATTTCCAAAGTTACTATTCCTTAGTAACAGAGAAGGGTATACACAGTAGCAGTAGGCTACTGGTGCAGGCAGCGCGGACGTCTGACGCGGGCGCATATCAGTGTGCGCCAGACAATGCTCAGATGGCCACAGCACGAGTTCATGTACTTACTGGTAAGTTTTAAAGTTACTTTTCCTTAGGAACAGAGAAGGGTACAAGGCTACTGGTGCAGGCAGCGTGGACGTCAGACGCGGGCGCATATCAGTGTGCGCCAGACAATGCTCAGATGGCCACAGAACGAGTTCATGTACTTACTGGTAAGTTTTAACTTATGCAAGTGCTAACGTTCTGTCAATACTTCTAAACATTGCCGTAGATGATTTTAAAGGTATAATCTATGACTGTACATTTTCTTAACAGTCCATCTTATCTAACAGATTTAACTAAATAAATAATCACACCTTAATGTCTGATATTTAGTACTGAAATTAATTGCTAAAATTTTTGATGCATGCACGAGCATGAGTGCCTGGCATGACTGTGACGCAATGCAGGTCATCGTGACAAAAACGCAACGCCACGCTACGCTCACTCTCGTTGCTTAGCGGAGAATTTATAGTATCAATTTTAGCTAGGTGTAAACTCAGTGTCCATTTAAAGTTTCGCAAAGGTAATAATACCCACCTTTGCATGTCCAAAGCTCGTAAAATAAACAAATTTCACGGGTGCTGACGTTAATTATGCCTATTCTAATTACTCATTTGGGTCGTTCATGTCTAAATCCATTGCTGTTACCGCTGGGCCTTTTCTCTTTTGATAATTTATTGCGTTTAAGAATTTTGAACTATAATTACGTACTTTTCAAATTAACGAATTAAGATTTTGTTAATTTATCAACAACTGCAAATGATTCTAGGATGGAAATAAAACTATAGGTTAACTCAATCAGTGCCTGAAGTATGTTCTTTGCTCATGCGGCCCGCTTATGAGCAAAAGAAGTATCCATCTCGGGTGACACATCATGCACCCGGATGAGATAGCAGATATCACGCTCCAAAGAATCTGGAAATTTATAGACTCAACGGGACTAAGCAGTGAACTCTAAAGACAAGGGCTGCCACAATAGATCAAACCTGGTCGAGCTGGCGCAAATGAAGGCCCAAAACCAAAAATAATAATAATAATGGGAGCGGCACGGGAGGGGTGATTTTTAATTATTATTGCACTAGCTTTCCGCCCACGTCTTCGCGCGCGCGTACTACATTATCTACATATTTTACGGAACCCTATTTTTTTCCAAAATAAAATTTAGCCTATGTTACTCGTGGATAATGTAGCTTTCGAATGGTGAAAGAATTTTTATAAACGGTCCAGTAGTTTTTGAGCCTATTCATTACAACCAAACAAACAAACAAAGTTTTCCTCTTTATAATATTAGTGTTGATATTAGTATAGATGACAGAACATACAAGTCTGAAGTGTCACTGCCATTTGACGTAACAAAATACTCCCTCCCGTTCCGCTCCCATATAACCCAGGCGCTAACTGAGTTATGCGTTATATTTCTAATTAAATTATTTAGTAAGTAACAATTTTCACTATAATAATATTTTTGTCTTCAGGAGAGACCCCAGCAGCGATGCAAGGCAGCGCACAGTGGGCCAGCAGTCTCAGTTTGCCCGCACTGTTTGTCGTCGCCAGTGCGGTCATATAAAATGTAAACAGTGACAGTGTCATTAATATAGAGTGTAAACAATGAAGTGAACTTCAGTGAATATTGACTTGTAAAAATATCAAGGAATGTGAAATTGAAATTGTGCTATCGTGGATAGTAATTTGAGGACTGGATGTAGATGTTAAGTTCATATAAAATGTAAATATTAAATATAAAATAATGTGAAAATCGACGCGGTAAAATTGATAATGTGCAATATGTGAAATAAAATTGTAAAATAGTTACCAAAATATCCGAAAGTTCAAGTTATTTACGATTAAAGTCATGAACTTCATAGCTAGATATTGATGTTAATACAATTTTAAAAACTGCCAGGGGAAATCAGATTGTTATTAACGATATTTAAATTTTTAGGTCTGGAGGTGAATTACTACTATAAAGAAATATACATTTAAATTCAGAAAATTACTTTCGTAACCCAATGGACGTCAATAAGCTTATCGGCAGGGCTTTAAAATTTTGTAGGTTTATTTATTTTTCAGAGAAAAATCTTTATTTATCTGTATTTATTTCCAACTAAATTGACAATGCAAGGATTTACAATGTATACGTAAGTAAATTTAAATTATCAACTTATCAATGAGTTTGTAAACAAACGTTATTATCAAATCTCCATTTATGACGTGTAAATAATAAAGTGTATTAGTGAGAAGACTCCATGAGTTATGTTGTTAGATGGGACAAAATTAAAATTTGTGGTTGCCAAGCCCGCGAGGTTATCAGCGCCACCATACATTGGAATACGAGTGACAGCGTTGAAGTGGTCTACAACTTGTAGTAACAACTTGGAGTGACCACTTGTAGTGACCACTTGAGGTGATCTCTTGTGTCGATCACTTGAGGTGACCATCTAAAGCTTTAGCGACCGATGATAGGACGCGCGTCCTGTCATTGTCCTATGCACGCGCAGTGACAGCCATCGCCGACGCGATCTGCACGCGTTGGTTTGGCTGAGGCTTTAAGTGACAATTATGGTGACCATCACTTATGAAGACTAATGTATGGTGGCGCTAAATATCCTGATCAGGGTAATGTATTGTTAAGATTTTATTGGTGCATTGTAACGTATAACATTGTTTTTTTGTTGATGAATAAATATTATTTATGTTATATTTTGGCAAATGTTAAAAATGTTTAGCATCGCAGTTCGGAGTACTTTTTTCAATACAACAATGAAATACCTAATACTTTTTTAAAATCAATTTCGTTTAAGTCGAACCTTCTGAGAAACTCTTTTAATATTTGTTTCACTAAAAGCTGTTCTATTGTTCAGTTTTGTAAGAGTTTATAAATCAAATATCAAACGATTGTATCAAAGGGTTTCAATAGAAAACACAACAACAATGTCACACGTTAACGAAACTTTAGAAATGAAACAAAGTTGTAAAGCTGGGAAACGGAATAACGGTAGCAAACCAAATAGTCTAGGTAAAATTGTATTTTCAATTCCAAGTTGATTTCAATAAAAGACATTTTTAAAACAAAGGCGTTTGATTTCGTTCATTTGTCAACACTAAAGTGGAGCAGGGACAAAGCATTTACGACAAAGAGTGAAATAAGACAAAAATGTAAGACATGAACGTCAACTGCAGATGGCTTAAATAACACCAGTGCTTTCTTCTCTCTCCCTCACTCTTTCTGTCTCTCTATTTCCGCAGTTCTCGTTGAATATTCAAATGTTTACCGAGGAAGCCAATCTACGGTTTCGAATTTCGAAATTCGAAAATCAAAAATCATTGCGATGAATATACCTCCTGCCTCTAGTTCAATAGTGGAGATTGCTCAAGGTGTTATAAGTAACAAAAGTGATGGGAAAATCTAAACACAAAACGCGTTTTTTCCAAAAGCGAGGATTTGCTTTTAAGCAAATCAATTTGACTTTTAATTCAAATTCAAAAACAAAAAAGTGTAGTTTCCATTAACATACAGGTAGCCAGCGGCAAATTTAAGTAAATGGATCACTTGATGGTAAGCAGTTAAGTATGTACCACGGCCCACTGTCGTCCGCAGCACAAAAAGAGTTTCATTTAAAAAACGAGTAAGTAAAGGGAAGTAATTATTTTTGAAAAGAGGTCAAATTGTTCTAAATAGGTATAATAGTACGCTACTGTTGACCTATTTTGAAGGTGCCTCTATGTAGTCCTGATAAGACTTAACATACTTTTTGGATTCCCATTCAATTGCTTACAAAAACTATTTGGAACATTTCTAGGAAATAAGACATATTACAAACATTTGAATGGAACACGATTTAGGAGCGTGTATAATAATTTCGTATTTCTTTACGCAAGTGACATGCTATAGAAAAGCTTGACACAAGTCAACCCTTTCACTCTATCGTAACTCACATCTGAGGTTCTCATCTCTCATCATCATCCTACCCTGAAAAACGAAACGTTTTTGAATTATATCTGCCTCATTCTCACCCTGTAATATTCGCATGGATAAGCGAGACGACTATAGATCAAACAGTGTTATTTTGTAACATCTCGTAATTTTTCGTGTGTATTTGACCCATCCTATTTCCCGTAAACGCCTCTCACCTGTCGTATTAAGAAGCTTTGAATGTGACTGATATGGTTCTTCGATTTCTGGAAAAGCTGTGGCATCCGCTATTAATAACAACTGATTCAATCATTTTAAGTACTTACGCGAAAATACAGGAAAATATAGGTGGGCCGACGATCGCGGGAAGTGCCTGGGCACAGTGGGTAGAGTGCGGGCAGCGCAGGACCGCTCGTTATGGAAATCCTTGGGGGAATAAGAATAAGATATAATGAACATTATTAATAAATAAGTTTATTTATAATGTTCATTACATGTACATTTTTCAATACACTTCTTATTCAGCTTTTGTCCAGTAGTGGACATTAATCGGCTTAAACGTACGAAAAAAGGAACGATGCGAAAAAGCGTTAGACTTTTTAGAGTGTAGGCAGACTACAAATTTTTGGGCGGCTCAGTGAGCACAAGTATTACACACATTACGAGTATACCTACCGATTTAGATCGATCGATTCCTCATACTTTTAATAAGAAGCCAACCACAACACTGGCTGATAAAAAGTCTGTAGTATGTGGGGGACGACGATCTGGTGAAGGTCGCGGGAGGTGCTTGGATGCGAGCGGCGCTGGACCG